TTGGAACATAATTAAGAAAAGTTGACTTTTGGTTGACATCATCAAATTCACCAAGTATATAGAAATACTAAAAAAATTATTGGTAATGTTTGTCAAGATCTTTTAGATGAAGTGAACAACATTTAACTTGAAAAATTATTCTCTGATTTTTTCTAATCTGTGAGTTTCTTGACCATAAAATATTGTCAAAAAATAGGATACGGCTTCTGTGATTGTTGGATATTAGAGAAATTGCAGTTGTTTGTATTCACCAATATTATCTCAAAAATTCTTGAAGGTTTCAACTAGTTTTGAAATAAATTTGATATAAACCATATTCATCGTAACATTAGGATTTGAGTTTAATTCAACAAGTCCTCATGCTAGAAACTTTTGAAATCTCGAGGACCATTTGGAAGGAGAAATATCATCAATTGTGAAAACTAAAAATTTTGACGTAAAAGGAAAAACATGTGTCTGTGTTGAAAGAGGTTGTTGTTTAGCATCCATTTCATTAGGGTTGTGCACTTCTAAGTTATCTTCTAGAACTTTAATTGTTGATTTTGTCATGAAGATCTAAGGGAAAGTTTAATACGAATCATTTAAGTTATCTGACTCAATACTTTTCATTTAGGATTTTGTTTTATATCTAGTAAAAAAGATATCTTCAATGAAAAACTGAGTGATGTTCTCTTGTGCTATTTGTTGTATTATTTCTAGGAAGGCATTTGGTGCGAAAGAAATCATGAGTTGTGTTAAAGGTTTTGGTTCTGGTGTTGGTTAAGGTATAGGGTTTGAAGGGGTAGCAATAGAGCTTGAGCTTGGTTTTGATTTTGAAGGTTATGGCAGTGGTTATTATGCAATTCTCTTAGGTTTCTAATCAACTGATTATTTTTCTCTGAATATATGAATATGCTTTTCAATTGTTCTAAAGGGAAATTGTTTTAGTTAATCTGATATTGGGGTGAAATATTGTCTTGGTTGTAAAGATGTTGATGTAAGAGGAGCTTTATACTGAAATGGTATGAAAAAAGATTTTGGAGGTGAGGTTGGAGGCAAGTTGTGAGGTTGGTAAGAAGAAAGTGTATAAGCTTGGTAAGGAATGTCACACATTCCAATATTGATGGGAGTAAAAATACTGTAATTGAAGGTTGTTTATTGTTGTTGTTGTTTTTTCTGATGGAGCTAATTTTGAAGATCTACAAGTTGAATCTTCAGGCTTTTCATCTCTTTTTCTCTTTCTATGAGAGCATAAATGAAGCTAGTGTTGGTTTTTGTCATGTATCTGAGTTTTCGATCTAGAATTATTATCCTTGATTGGATTTCAAGAATAATATTTTTAAGATTGATGAGACTTTGGTTAAAATGGTGACTAATTTGGTCCAACTTATTTTCTATTCTGGTCAAGTATGCATTTTGTTGAAGAATAATTTTCGATTTACCAGTTCAAAACTGCTTCTAATGAGAAACACATTTTTGGTTTTCATATTCATCTCTATCAATGAGTTTTAAGATTTTTGGAATGTGTTTGTATTGGTCTTTATGGAATTCTTGGAAATAAGGAAAATCTGAACCATAAGATTGACTTGATTACATCACATACATCTGGGGTAAGGGTTGGTTTGTTTCTGATTTTTGAAGAGCTTGGATTTTGTAAAGTTTGGGAAGTGTTTTTATTTTTTCTTTTTTAGGATAGATGATATAATAGTTAAACTTTCCTGAGGGTTCACCAAGCAAATCAATTTCAGGGTCTTTTATTTTATATTTTTCTTTCAGCTTTTGTTGGGAAGACTTTTTCCTTGGCTTCTTTGGAGGATCATCATCATCAAGGCAGTTTCTATAGCTGTCTTTCTGACATCCTTTGCATTTGCAATTAATGTTTTAATAGCAATGTTGTTATGTAGATCTGTATACGTATACAGGTTTTTCATCAGGTTTGAAGTGTGTAACTAAAATATTTGGTTCTACTTGACATCTTTGCATCATAAATTGTGTGGAAAAGATGGTTGGGGTAGGAATCTCTTTTCCTTTGCTGTGATCAAACTTGATTGTCACAGTATCATCTATGTTTGTCTCGTAGGTAGGATCAAAGTGTTGAATTGGTTCATTTTTCTTCCAAGTAACTCGTTGTCTACGATTTAAGAAGTAAAGTGGCAAGTTCTTCATTACATATCTTTTTGGGAATGTGCACACATGTGGGATTCTTGTTTGCAGCCTCTAACTTTACAAATACTGCATCACCGAAGTTAGGTAGAGGCAAGTTTATGGCATGGTCTTAAATTTTGTATGCCATCTAGTAGTGAAGAGTTCTTTGGAATCCTTTCATCTCAATGCCTACAATCTGTACTTAAACTTTTAGAATATCTAGCAATGTTGGATCATGAAAAGACATGTTGTAGTTGAAGAAGACTATGAAGAAGACAGTTACTGCATTGAGCGTCATCTCAACTATGGCAAGTACTGCATGTTGATAGTTTTTGAATCTTGTATCCAACATAGCCATCTTGATACAAATAGAAATACCATTTCTGTCATAGAAATTCAAAGCTATTCTGATAGCACTAAAGTGAATGTGAGTATATCTTTGGTCTAGCCATTGTTGTAGAAATTCTTTTGGAATTTGAAGAATAACAAAGTACTTTTGAGATCCTGCTGAGAGAATGCACTGATCAAACTTTGTGGCTTTAACATATTCTTTTGGAGCTTGATATTTTGGTTTTAAAAGGGTTTTTATGAATCTAGAAAAGGAAGTAAAGGTTTTTAAGAAAGCACTTACAATAGGAAGGTTTGTATCTTGGATCTTTCTGTTTTCAAGAAGATAATTTACTTTATAAAAGAAATCTAACTTAGAAGAAAAATACTTTTTGATATAGGAGAAGGAAGAGAAGGTAAACTAAATGAAGATTTAGAAATAGAAGGTTGAGAACTACTATTTTTTGATAAATCCATAAAAATAAAAATTCTGTTGGCTTTCCTATCTTTAAAATAGAAGAGAAAGAGAATTTTATATGGAGTTGCCCTCTGATACCAAAATACTAAAGGGGATGACATCAATAATTGCAATGGCATCCCTAACTCCATGGTTAAGTGAATGAAGTGGCAAACTGGCTGCGTACCTGTGTTAGACAAATCACCAGGCCTCAGACTCGCAAATCACCTTCTATTAGTATTACTCACTCTGTGAAGTTCATACTGAGACGCTTGACCCTTCAAATAGTAATCTTTCCTCTTAACAACTGAAGTAACAATGTGACACCATTAGCAGTCATGTAACTGGCTTCTGTTTTTGTTCCTCCCCTGTTTGCACCAGAGATTTTAAAAAGTACCTACTAAAAATATTAGATCGAAGTTGATAGTTTTGAAGTTTAAACTTGGTTATTAGGCAACAGCTTCGAGAGATGTGGGCAGGTGGCTTTACGTGTTCAAAACAATGTCATTAAAGACGTAGCAAGGCGACGATTATCTCAGCATTTTTTCCTGGAGAAATAGAGGCTCAAAGTAACGTGTTAAGTTGAAGAAACTGTATAGATTTGGAGTTGGTGTGCCGTATTGTTCTTATTTTCAAATTAAAAACAATAAAATATAACAAGTTCAATTCCAAATTAATGACCAAATTCAGTCTCAGCTGTAAGCCTGCAACATGAGACAAGAAATTTTCGTCTGGAAGAGAGAAAAGAGGGAATGATATTATATTTTATATACATGAAAACAGTTTCTTCCATGGTAAGCAATAATCGTAAACAATATTGGTCAAAAACTAGTAGTATTCAAGTGCTGAGCACAACCCCAAATACATTAGGAAATGCTTACTTGAATCACAATTAGCAATCCCCTGTTTTTTCCCTGGAGAAAAGGAAAGTGTGAATTGGATGACTTTCCGAAGTCCTAACCTGTAATATCTAATTTTTAATTCTTTATGCTGCTTACCAAATGTACTTTTCAAATGTGTGGCTGGATCAAAAGAGACAGCTAAACGACTTTATAATTTCCTTGCAATTACACGATTCTTTCTTCCCCGGTCGATTTTGATCTTTTAAGGAAAATTAGTAGATAGGTCAAATAATTTTTTATGTGTCATGATCACAAAATCTAATACCAAATGCAAAAAGACAACACTAAGCCAGCTGAGAATTGTATATTTTACAATCATTTTACCTTAGCCCCAAAGAAAACCTGAAACTCTTATATTCAATTGATCAGAATAAAAGATTGACGGCTTTAAATATCAAAAATAAGATTTTAGTTGGCGTGCTGGCAAACCTTCTAGTAGTAAGAAAGTATTTTTTTTTCTTTTTTTTTTTTATAATTGAAATATATTTCATTATCAAAAGAAGCAAATTGAATACCTGCTACAGAAGAACATGTTGCAACCAAAAGAGGTAAATAAGATCTTCCTAATCTAATATTCCAATTATTACAAATTAGACTAGTAACAGAGATACCAACAACGTTTACTAAAGAGACAATCTAAATTGTGTATCAACAAAAATAGCTAGAAGAATTCTATAACCTTAGGTTCCTTGCTTGCCAAATGTGACAGATATAAGCTGGCCAGATGGCTGCAACAAGGCCTTTGCCTTTAGAATTTTGAATAATCCACTGGAATTCAAACTGCCAGTTCCCAGGTGCTCTATCAATAAGAAGTTTCTCTAGTATTTTCCTCTAAATATCTTTTGCAAATGCACAAGAGTGAAATATATGATCACAAGACTCTTCCATCTAATCACAAAAATAGCAAGAGGATCTGCTCAAGCTGCTGCCCCATTTTTGAAGCCGAGATAAAGTAGATAATCTATCAAGATTTGCCAGCCAAGTGATAAGTCCATGCTTAGGCAAAGAATACTAGTAGTAGTTTTTTTTCATTAGAGTCCTGAAGTTTGCAAAGCAGATTACTTTACAGGAGAGAAGAAATTCTATTTGAGTCATTTTTCGATATGGTCCCAATGCTATTGCATGTATATACATATTAGTTTGAAGTTTGAACCGTCCGTAAAGATGACAAGGAATTTTCAATAAAGAATTTCGAATACCAGTTTGAGAGCAAGCCAAAGACATGATCCCACAGTTAAAGGAGACACTATCAGTTTACTTAATTTTCTTGTGTCGTATGAATCAAGTATTCTACCATAAATCTTCTCATAACTTGAAACAATGTTCTTTTAATCTAAAAAAAGGGAGAGAAAAAAAGGATTACCCCGTTAATCATCATCATCGTCATCATAATCATCCTTCTTTTCTGCCTCGTGTACATCCCTAACCTAGTACTACTCGACATTGATAGCCGCCGACTCCCAAAATCCATTACCGTCCCGTCCCTAGACGATATTGGTGTTCCAACCAAATCTTCAATGACATGGCTATGCCCAGAATCAATGCACTGTTGCACTACCAGGACAGAACCGGTGGCAGAATCGGATATCGCCAACAAGTCACCAATGATCCCTAGCTCCGGACAATCGACCCAGTTCGATAACTCTGTTGTCAATGGCGACGCTAACCCATCTCTTCTCCCTACAATGAATAGCTCAAATTTATTTTCTATTTCTTTCAATTCCACAACCAGCTCTTCTCCATTAAATAAACTCTTCTCTTCGTACATAATAAGCTCCTCCCCAACAGTTCGTATCCTGAACTCATTTATATAATCATCATCAATCTGCCTTTGCCTGTCAAGATATGAGCTTGAGGATTGCATTGAGTTCTTGCTGTTTGCCAGATCCATAGAATTCATTTCTAATAATCTTATCACCTTAAGGCTAACTCCTGGCTTTCTTGCCATCCTCCGAGGATAAGCTAATGCTTCCCAGTCGTCAGCTCCACCAAGGAATACCATGGCTATTTGATTGATTCCATTGCTGGATTTGGCACCTGTGGCCTCTTGAAGGCCACGGTCTATGAAGATTCCTACAGAACAAGGAACATTAAGAAGCACGTTTTGGTTCATGTTGCGAAATGCAGAGCTTCTCTCTAGGAGATTCCCCTCTTTTGTGGCTTGCTTGTGGAATGGTAAGATCAAGAATGCCACTTGCTTGCCTTCAGCTAGGTGACTAATATCCCCATGCATAGCCACAAAAGGAGACACTGCAGCAAAGGATTGGATGCTGACATTGCAAGTCTTGTTTTCATATTCTCTAAAGGCATTGACGATTTTATCCGTTTCAGAGCGATCACCATACGCAGGGTGGTAGACAGGATCGTCAAACCTGTGCTTGTGTGAGTCATGCACTATAAGCATAGCTGATCCACGGCCTGTGAGCTCAACAAGGTGGGGAGTGAAAACTGTTGTATGATTATGTTGGCTACCATGAGAGACATCAAGGAGCTTTAATATTCCCGGCACATTGCAAAACGAATGGATGCATGCAATGATTCGTAATTCTGCTTCTGCTTTAGCTTGTTGTATGGTTCTACTTCTACTGTTGTAGTCAATAGAAGATTGGTCCGCTTGTAAATGGCGGCAATTGTGGGAGCAACTATACTGGTCATTAATAGAATTGTAACAATCATCACCGCAGAGTCATCGTCATGTAAAACCTAAATAGAGTTGAAAAATTACATGTAAAATTGTAAGGCTTCATCAATTACCTTGCTGTAAATGTGTAAATAGAGAAAAGAAAGTACCCCTTTTTCCAAGCCAGTCTGAATGATAAGAATGGCCCATATCCCTTTTGTGCTCATGAGTAATCCAAGAGCAAAACTATCTTTAGAGTCAATGTCAGAGACAAAAAAATAGGTAGGAAACTAATAATCGTAACAGCGCAAAGCATGATTACAATAAACAAAACGAGGCTCCACTCTGTTATTTTTAAGATGTCGACTCTTATCCCAGAAACTGCAAAGAACAATGGCATCATTAGCCCTGAAACAAAGTAATCGAACCTCTCCAACACCAGCGCCAGCTCATCAGGCATAATGAGCCCAAATACGAAAGCCCCAACAACGGAATGAGTGCCAGTCACATCCGTTGAAAATGCACTTACGATAACCCCAACAAGAACAAAACACAAGTAAAAATCACTGTAGTTGTTTTCATTCCCGTCAGAAGTGCGGCGAACGACCCATGCAAGGAATGGACCAATTGTGTAAAAGGAGGCTAATAGGTAGGCTGTTGTCGTAGTGATGACATATGGAGCATTTCTGGGATTGGCACAAAATGGGATCAGAATGACTATAAGAACCCAACAGTCCAAGTCGCTGATAAGGGCAATGGGCATTGCCAGTCGTCCGATATTTGAGTTCAGTAACTTGAGATCCGATTAAATTCGACTAACAACAGGGAAGCTTGTGGCTGCTAGTGCAGCAGCCCATATAAAACTTCCTTGTAAATTAACTTTATGATCTTGAGGCTGATCTTGTCCCCAATATGCATGCAATAGATAAAAGAAATCAATCCCTACGGTCAAGGGAACAAAAAGTCCAGTTACAGTGACACTTACTGCCTTTTTGCTTATATGCCCGATGGCACTTAGGTCGAGCTCTAGGCCAACTAAGAACATGTGAAAAACAAGGGCCATGTACGCCAAGGTTTCTACTGTAATAACATTCTTTGTTGGTAACAATTCTCCAGAGTAAATTGTATTCCCAAATGCAGATCGACCTAACAATATGCCACCCTGCACATCAAATATGATCAAATATTTTATCTACGATAACAGATGAATTCAGATAACTTTGGTATTCCCATTAATATCAACAATGCCACTTACAAGAATATCCGAAATGATGCTGGGTTGATGGAAGGGTTTGAGAAGGTGGTAAAGAAAGCGAGTGACAATTAGGATAACAGCCAGCTGGATGATTAAGAGAGGGAGAGATTCGGTGAAGGGGTTATCACCTTGCCAAATTCCATTGTAGGAGGTTATATTCAAAATAAAACATTGGTCAGAGGCATTGTTTATTTGATTGTGTTTAACATTTTCTACTTTGGGATCCATTTTTGGTTCCTCCGCCACACCATACTCTCGATCGGTGCATGCCTCAACCGGTGGCGTTGGTGGCTCTGGGGATACACCACCTTGTTTGCTGAATTTGGAACATAGAATGAATGACAGAGAGGGAGAAAAAGGGTCAAAGAGGAAAAAAAAAAAAAAGGGAAGACTAAAGCGTTTTTGTGAAAATATTAGGTTCCAGCTAGCGAGGAAGTGCGAGAATACAAGGCTATCCGCTCATTTTGGTGACAGTATTATCCTCTTTTGTGGTTTCTATTTGATGGTTTGGTTGGATTTTTATTGTTGTTTTGGTGGTATATCTCTTACACTGAGCGTTAGATTTGGTTGAATTTGAAGTTTGAACATTGAAGCAACTGGTCTAAAATGCCTGACCATTGCAGTTCGTATCATGGCTACCGACCATTGCGGCTGGCACATGTAAGAGATCTCATCTTGACCAAGTCACCCAATCAACAAGCATCAGCAGCAACGAAACAACCAACTCAAAGCTTAGTCACTGTGGAAATAATTTTAGATAACTTTAGTTAAATTCAAAAAAAAAAAAAATGTGAACTAATCTCATATCCTTACTTTCTATAAATACACAAAACAATATGTCTAATCAAAGCAAGTTTAATCACCAAATTTCTATCTCTGTTTTATCCCACATGAGTTAGGAACTTCAGGCCCAGATTTTGCACCCAATAGCCCATTACCGGTTTTCGCCAGAGTCGACTAATCTTTAAGGGGAACACCCCAACTCCAAAAGTAGAGAACCAAAAAAATCTGCTGGTAACAGTTTAAAGACTTCAACGCTGCCAGCATCTCTTATCTGTTCCCTCCAACCTTACCTGAGTGAAACATGAATTCCTCAATCTGCATGCCGGTTTCTTCTTCTAGCACTGCTTTGAAACACAGCCTAAACCCTTTTCTTGGTAACTTTCTCCCTTCAAAACCATATGCACCTATCAGAAGAAGTGCTTGCGTAACTACTATAAAAGCGCTTCTATCAACTACAAAAGAAGCAGTGTTGAAAAACTTCCATGAACGAAGAGCTCTCAAGGTATTCCAAAAGCAACTTATTGTTTTCTATGTATTCCTTTTCTATTTTGTTGTTTAATAATATGTAATTTGATTCAAAATTTTTTATATCCTTTACAGATTATCTCAGGGTTGCAGAATTTTGATAGAGACAACGTGGCTTCGGTTGTTACAGCTGCGGATAAGGTCAGCCTCTTATGGCCATTCCATTTTACTATTGGTTTTATTATTATTATTATTATGTGAAATTGATAATGCAACTGTGAATTCAGGGTGGAGCAACTCATGTGGACATAGCTTGTGACCCAGAATTAGTGAAACTTGCCATTAGCCTAACTTCTTTACCGGTATATTCTTAATCTTGTTTAGAGCTTATCTCCACCATGTTTTCTTCTCATCAAAAGGGAATACTCTAGCAATATTTGGATTTTCTCCTCTAATTTTTGCGTAATATGTCTTGTACCAAAAAGAAGAAGCGGGTTACAGCAGCAGATACCCCATACAAGCTAGAACAGAACTAAACAACACTTCATCAGGGAATTGAGTAAATTAGAAATTATAGGATCTGAGATGTTAAATAATCTGGCTTCCTAGGCGGCCTCCTCGATAATTTTTGCAGCTTTGTTTTAGTCATTGTAATATGTTGATCTTGCTTCTAACACGTCTCCTATTATTACAGGTTTGTGTTTCATCAGTTGATCCAGCTGCATTTTCAGCTGCAGTTGAAGCAGGAGCATTGATGGTTTGACCGGAAACTCACTGTCCATTTGAAGTTCAAAACTAACAAATTTGAATCTTGTGACAGTATTGTGTTTGATGATGTAGTGTGACACGAATGAACAGAAAATCAGAACAAATTTGTCAATTTATGCTAATGAAGTTGATCTCAAATGCAGGTGGAGATTGGAAATTATGATTCGTTTTACGAGACAGGTGTAGTTTTCTCTCCAGGGCAGGTATCAAAATATTAAATTCAATTTCTGAATGATGGTCATCACTTACCAGCCTATTTTTATTAGTTCTGTTTATCATCGTTTGCAGATACTAAAGCTAACAAAGGAGACCAGGAGCATTCTTCCTTCTGTGACCCTATCAGTTACAGTGCCTCACACTCTTAGCCTTCCCGATCAGGTTACCATCACAGCTACAATACTCAAAGAATGTCGGTCCTTACTACCGCCATTTAAATGGCTTGAAATAAACATTTTTCAACCCTCCAACAGGTCAAGCTTGCAGAGCTGCTGGAAAGGGAAGGCGTTGATATTATCCAAACTGAAGGAGGAAAATGTTCCACTCCCTCAAAACCGGGTGTCCTCGGTTTGATTGAGAAGGTAATCGTGCTTCAGTACACAAAAAGAAAATGTTTTAGCCATATCAGATGCAATCCTGCAAGTTTGAGGTCTTACTCTAAGTTACAACCAGTTATTTAGTGCAAAATTTTCCTTGTTTTGATTAACATGATATGTTGTTGCTTCTTTCTGTTACCATACTATTAGGCTACACCAACATTAGCAGCAGCATATTCTATATCAAGGGCTGTCAGGATTCCTGTTATGTGCTCATCTGGACTTAGTGCAGTTACAGCACCAATGGCAATCACAGCAGGGGCAGCCGGTGTGGTATGTAAAACATGACTTATCTCTGAAGAATATAATTACTTACACCCCATTAATCTGTTATTTTTGTGACAAACTACTGAATTAGTACTAAATTTTCCGATACAGGGTGTGGGCTCAGCGGTCAACAAGCTTAACGATGTTATAGCAATGGTTGCAGAAGTCAGAAGCATTGCTGAATCATTGAGCATGGCAGCTGATAAACAAACTCTATCCAAAGAGAGAAGCTTCAAGATGTAGCTTAGAGCATTTCGGGCAAAAAAGGAATGACAAATGAATTGTGGCTGGAATATGAGTAGAGATAACTTGGCCACTGAGGAGAACAATAAAAAAAAAAAAAGAATAAATCTACTGGGACGGAATTAAGAAAGTGAAACTTTGGTATCAGATCAACATGCCTTGCCCTTTTTGTAAATTTCTGCAAATTTAAATACGAACTGTATTAATGGAAGAAGCATTGGTTGATGAAAAAGTATCAAGAAAAAGGGTTATATTAAATTTTGTTTTATATTAAACAAAACAAACTCAGAAAAAGGCATGATCCCTAGTTCCAACTACTGGAGGATCAAGAAAGTTAAAAAAAGGGTGGATAAAAGAGTAAAGCTGGAGCTCTTAATAGGCATTAAATTCATGATACACGCATGAACATATTCAATTCATTAATATATATCTTGTAAGTTATAACGGCTACATCTATTCCTTCTGAAACAATGAATTTCCTGGTACAACCCTAAGGTTTAATCATCTAACTCTGAGTCATCTTCAGTTTCTTGATCTTCACCACTTTCCTGCAATGAAAACTTTGAGCAAGATAATTACTGCTTATCTATTGCAATTTGCAGCTGGTTTGCCAATAAAAATTAAAGCCTATCTTTGGAGATAAAAAACAACAGAAAAACTAAAGCAAGTTTACCTTTCGTTTAACATTTTCTACCATGGCTCTATGAAACTCTGCTCATTTCTCAGTTGCGATATCATAATATTTAACTTTTTTCCTATCAAAGACAAAATTGAAATTAAAAAGTTAAGACAACTCTGGTAAATGTTTCTCAATGTTCTCTATAAAGTCCATTATTTTCTATTTATATGTAATTTCTTATTTTCTTCAAGTCCAAATCAAGAATATGAACAATCAACCCTCTAGATCGTTGGTCCCCTTGCCATGCACTAATATTGATCATCACAATACAAGTACTAATTTCTGCACGCCTAGCTAGGTCAAAGAAATCCTTTTAAGAGTAGTGACAATAACAAATATTGGAACAATTTATCACCAAACATTCAACAATATGCAAGTCTTGTAAGTACAGTGCAGGAGGATATCAAAACTATTTTCTTCATCTTCCTGCAAATAATGCCATGAGCAGATCATGAGCATGAACCTTGTATCTAAAGAGAACTTAAGTAGGCTTTGAAAAGCCAATGTCACCCATGATCATGACCTACGATTTTGACTAGCACAAGACAAAACATCATTACTAAAATGGCTATGCTCTCAGACTCAAGTAAACATGACTCCACCAATTAACTAGTGCTGTTATTTTATAACATCATGAGGACAGCCAGATTACGATTCACATGCCGAGGATGGAACAATTCAAACTGCAAGCAAACCAAAAATAGCATATGCCAATTATATCTATATGATTTCCTAAGCAACAGAGCCAATTCAAGATTACAAGGCACAAACCTCATGTGTTATAGTCTTCCACTTCTCACCGCATGCTATCCCAATATTAAACAATATATTGCAGTATCCATTAACATACACCTTAAAAACAGAGAGATTCATTGGCGAAAAAAAGATTTTTGTTTTCAAACCATAACATACATCACTCATGGACTTGATATCTGGATTCTGCTCTTGAAATTCCTTACGATAATCCTCGCTTCAGTATAAGAGAAGGAAAACCCAGTTAGAATTGTGTCTATCCAAAAAAGACTTTCACTTTCTTTAAAAAAAATAGCAGGCAAGATTAAACACCAATGCTCACCATCCAGAATATATTTGTTGTCTCTATTCATTTGAACCTAGGACATCTCAAGGCGCCATTATGTATAGTTAAGACCAGAATCCGAGTTTGAAGGCAAGGAAACACAACACCGTTGGTAAGCCTAAAAAACCAACTCAAATTTTGCATATGAAGACAGCTAACAAATATGCATATGGACTATAACTCAACAAAAAGTTTGGCAGAAAAAGAATATAGAAACAAAGACAAAAGATAGGAAGCATAAGAAACTGCAACCAACAGAAGTGTTATTATCAACAAAAAGTTAACCAAATCTATGAACAGAAAAAATAAGGAATGCTCACAAGTAAAAGAAAGCAGTCGGGGGTTTCTTGGGCATTTTATCATCAATTTTTGCCTACTTTTTCTTCTGCTTCGATTTGGGCCTTGACTTCAACTTGGGTCTCTTTTCTCTCTCGCTAACAACACTATTTTGACCTGACCTCTTCACTTTCTCACTTGATTTTACCCTCAACTCCATCAATTTTTGCCTTCCTTTTCTTCTGCTTCGATTTGGGCCTTGACTTCGACTTGGGTCTCTTTTCTCTCTCGCTAACAACACTATTTTGAGCTGACCTCTTCACTTTCTCACTTGATTTTACCCTCAACTCCCATTTTCCTACCGTTTTTTCCATGCAACGGTATCGATCATCCTCACTGGCAAAACAAGAAAACATAAAAAAAACAAAGAAAGCTTACATCAACATATAATCTAAAATATAATAGAGATTTGGATAATTGATAATTATTTTAAAATACATTTATTTAATTGATAAAAAAATAAATAAGAATTGTGTAAAGTGTTAAATAAAAAATTTATCTAAGTGTCTAAGTAAATCTTATCAATTAATTATGTAATCTTAATATAATATATACTTATTAAATATAGTTGATTATAAACCCAATTAACCAAGATATGAAATATTATTAAAACATTATTATATTGATCATGATTCAGGTTCCATTTTTATAGGTGAAAAAGAGTGCATCCAATCCTATATATATTTTAAAATGAATCCCACGTTCACCGCATCAACTCGGCCCGGTGCGGCAGTGTCTGCGTGGCTGGTAAGTGTAGCCAGAATCCGGATATGAGCGTCAATATATAAGAGCCGTGGCGCGTGGGTGGCTAGTATTTTTCTTTTACTACTTCCATTTATTTATTAGCAGTTGAATTTGGTTCCCTTTTCTGCGTACTTTTGTTGTTGGTTGAAGTTGCCCGATTCCAATTTTCCGCAACACACAAAAAATACGAAGTCCCCTTTGTTTAGTTTTCTCTCTTCACTTCGTTATCATCGCCCTCAGCTTCCCCCATCAACCATGCAGGCTCTCCAAGCCCCATCTCTTCGAGCTTCCCCTTTAAACCCTCTCCTAAAACCCAATCCCAATCCCCATTTCCCCAATGTATCGAGACTCCCACCCAGGCCAACCAAGAAATTCTCTTCCATTACCGCTTCATCCCCCACCGTTTCTGCTCCCAAGCGCGAGAAGGACCCCAAGAAACGGGTGGTTATTACGGGTATGGGATTGGTTTCCGTTTTCGGAAATGATGTCGACGCTTACTATGATAAATTGCTGGCTGGAGAGAGCGGAATCGGACCCATCGACCGGTTCGATGCTTCCAAGTTTCCAACCCGGTTCGCCGGTCAGATTCGGGGGTTCAATTCTGAAGGGTACATTGATGGAAAGAACGATAGGAGGCTTGACGATTGCTTGAGGTACTGCATAGTTGCGGGAAAGAAGGCATTGGAAGATGCTGATCTCGGAGGCGATAAGTTGTCTAAGGTGGTTTCTCTTTTAATGATTTTTGGTCGGTGGGTTTGTTAATTGAGCTCTTTTTCTAGTGATTTGCATGTTTTATTCTTGAATTACAGATCCAAAGATTACTCTTTTATTGGCCTGCGCGATGTGCGATATTTACAGGAAACAGCTGTTTCGTTAATTGCATGAAATCATTGAACCTTAGCAAGATGTAGCTTAATTCTACAGATCCTTATGTTTTTATGTGCTTTCTGCTGCTGTGTCCTTACTGCAATTTTTTTGGGTTATTTACTTGAGATGAATGCTCTATAGTCATGGTTTGGTTAACCAATGGGATCGTTGCAATTTCTTTCTGGGCTTTTTTGCCTTTTCCCCATCAATAAATGCTTTCTATGCTTTTTTAACTCATTATATTTAGATGTAATTCATAATGGGATCTAAATATAAGTCCAAATGACTTTGACTAGAATGATATGTTGCTTGTTTTGATTTAAGCAATGTGCCCATTACAAATTTTTTGCTCTATTTCACTGTTGACTCGGTCTCTGATCTTTTTATTTCGTTCAAACATAAAGCTTTTCTGTCCTCAATTTGATGAAGCTCTTAAATATTGAGAATCCTTATATAACTGGAAAACCGAGTTATCTTGTACATTTGCCTTAAAGAATCTTCATTTGGAATGATTTCAGCAATGCTAATGTGATCTTCTATTTGAAAGCAATTAATTTATCAGATTATTAATTTTACATTCAAGATGTGATGCATCCACCGGAAATATGCCCTTGAAAGGGTGTTTAGAAAGATGAAATTATTGATTAAATTTTTTACCCCTATTGATGATTTCATACCCTATAGAATGAAAGGATACAAGAAAAATAGATATGTTGAGAGTGATATCTGTTGTTAGAATTATGAGTGGCAACAGGACTTTGGATTTATTGTTCTCATTCTTTATCTTGTCAAGTAATTTAGCTTCTATTCGTCATTTAATTTATTTTGGTGCTTTAGCTCTGTGTTGAAATTTCAGCTGTTGTTAATAATGCTTCTTAAAACAATGTGTTCTGTTTCAATTTTTTCTCCCAATAGTGCTCACAAAAATTTGTTGAACTTGTATTTGTTGCAGATCGATATGGAGCGAGCTGGAGTGCTTGTTGGAACTGGTATGGGTGGTCTTACAGTGTTCTCTGATGGCGTTCAAAATCTGATTGAGAAAGGTTATAGAAAAATATCACCATTCTTCATTCCTTATGCAATAACAAACATGGCATCTGCCTTGCTTGCAATTGAGCTTGGCCTCATGGGTCCCAATTATTCAATTTCAACTGCTTGTGCTACCTCCAATTATTGCTTTTATAATGCTGCCAACCACATCCGTCGAGGTGAGGCTGAATTGATGATTGCTGGTGGAACTGAAGCTGCAATCATTCCTATTGGGCTGGGAGGTTTTGTTGCCTGTAGGGCATTGTCTCAAAGAAATGATGATCCTCAAACTGCTTCAAGGCCATGGGACAAAGATCGAGATGGCTTTGTAATGGGTGAAGGTGCTGGAGTATTGGTAAGCTAGCATTCATTAAATGCTAATCCTATATGTGCATCATTTAGCTTCTTGTTGGTTATTATGTTGTCTATTTCTGGTTAGCATCTTGTTTTGCCTCCATTTGTGATTTGTGATATTATTGTTAAGAGAAGTAGGCATTTTTGCCCAGGCTTTAAGGTATATCTGTGAGGGAGCCTGGTTATGGTATGCGTGTGTGCAATGAGCAACTGACCGTTTCCTATATAATATCAAATTCTTTTCCCTTGGAGTCTGTTCTTTGTTGCGGATGGACCCTAACTCACTATTTATGTGGACTTTCTAACACATTATTGTGGTGTTTGGTGGGAATGGATCATAAATGTTCAGCAACTTGGGAGCTGAGGAAAAGATTTCCAGTTATACTTGCATACTTTTTTCTCTTTTATCACATTGAACTACTTGGTTGATGAGACTTTCTCTAGAGTTAAGGGATTGGTGATTTTGCTTATGGATTCTTGGTTTGATTGTTACTTAGTTCTCTATTTGTGGTTATATTCAACTGAGTTATATTGATGAGGGCGGAAATGCAACAATCTTTTATAATGAGTTAATTCTTTTGCTTTTCAGATAATGGAGAGCTTGGAACATGCAATGAAAAGAGGTGCTCCAATTATTGCTGAGTACTTAGGTGGAGCTGTTAATTGTGACGCCTATCATATGACTGATCCAAGAGCTGATGGTCTTGGGGTGTCTTCATGCATTGAGAGATGTCTTGAAGATGCTGGTGTCTCCCCTGAGGAGGTGATTCTTTCTGCTTTTCTACTCAATTCTCGTAAATGTGGTAGGAGTAATCTAGTTTGGTCTGGTTTCTAGATTTTTCTCATTGCCCATGTTATGTTGTTTCTTTCTATCTAGGTTTGCTGACACCTGTCCTGTGGAAGCCTTTTTTTTTTTAAGTTACATTCAATAGCACTAATAACTTCTCTGTTTTATGGTGAACTTAATGGTGCCTTTGAATCGTCCTCGAAATGTGCATCTAGTTAACATCTCATTTTCTCAGAAGTTTTATTATCAATTAGATTTAGGCTTCAATTTAAGTGACACTGTAGAGAAATGGCCTAATGGTTATTCTTAAGTCATTATAGTGACTGGTCAATGTTGCTGTTTACTTAGATATGGAAGTGCAAATAATAGGGGTCAGTATGCAGTTATTTTATGAAATTAGCAAACTAATTAAGTCCTGGTTTTCAGGTTAACTACATCAATGCACACGCAACTTCTACGCTTGCTGGTGACTTGGCTGAGATAAATGCTATTAAAAAGGTATTCAAGAATACATTAGACATCAAAATCAATGCAACAAAGGTACTTTCTCTGTTTCTCCCAAATTTTGCAAAATTTGAGATGACTATACTGTAATGTTGCTCTCTTGCTATTGGCTAATTGCTTTGCTTCTTGTTTCAGTCTATGATAGGGCATTGCCTGGGTGCAGCGGGTGGTTTAGAAGCCATTGCCACTGTGAAGGCCATTACCACAGGATGGTTGCATCCTAGCATAAATCAATTTGTACGTGCTAGTTGCTTGTTTGATACTATGTTTGCTCTGGGAATTGTATTTAAACCAACTTAAGATAATGTGTTTGTTGTTCATGCATGGATTTTATTTGTTATTCATAGATTAAGCATTTTATTGTATGTGCCTCTATAAATCCTTAAAGTGCTAAAATTTTGAATGCAGAATCCAGAGCCGTCAGTTGATTTTGACACTGTCGCCAATGAAAAGCAGCAGCACGAGGTTAATGTTGGTAAGACTCCTAACCCTTTCAAACTACATTACAAGTTCCTGTCTCAATTTCTTCAAGCTTGTATTCTCTCTACTTAATTTCAGTTGATTTGAATCAGAATCCATTATTCTAACTGAGCTGTTTATGATTCAGCAATTTCGAATTCTTTTGGATTTGGTGGACACAACTCTGTGGTGGCATTTTCTGCTTTCAAGCCATGAAAGCCTCCTCACTTTTTCTGCATTTGTTAGGGAACATAGATCTTGGTTGTTAGAAAGTCAGCTATTTATCGGGTTATCAATACTGCTTCAATCTTGTTCTTGAGCCAATTTGTAATTGTTAGCATTGTAGTAATAATTTTGAGTTGAATTCTAGCTATACTGCTATAGCCTAAGATTAAGAATTGTGGACTCAATTTTTCTTTTTATCTTCTTTGAACTAGACTACTTCATGAGGCTAATCATCAAGGACACGTTTTGTTGCGTCCTAAATTATGTTTGTGAGTGAAATACTGGGCCTTAGGGCTCAGGATATCAAGCGAGCTTCTTCAACGGATCCCAAGATTTGTTTAGATTAGACAGCCTACATATTTAATTCTTTCTAAATTCTGTACACTGAATAAAAAAGAGGTCTCGCAAAATTCTGTATACTGAAGAAAAAGAAAAAAAAAAGGAGGTCTTGTTAAATTCTGTACACTGAAGAAAAAGAAAAGAGAAGAGGCTACGCAAAGGTTATAAAAACCAAACGACTCCACTGGGGATTGAACCCAGAATCTCTGGTTCCGTAGACCCGCGCCTTATCCCTTGGGCCATGGAGTTATGTGTTTTTTTCTTATTTTTTATTTTAAAGATTTAACAAAAAAAAAAAAAAGGGCACTCAATTCCCGCCAAAACTACGCTCCCTCTCGGCGAAGAAAAAAAAAAAAAGGAAGAAAAGAGGGGCTAGCATTTGGTGTTTTCTGTAGAACAGGAAAAAAGAAAAGGAGAGAAAAAAATGGAGTTGGGAGCTCAAGATTATGCAGATAGGAAGAAAGATATCACCCAATTCTTGTCTCAAGATGTATTTTTCCTCCAGCCATCTTTATTCATTTCCCTCTCTTCTCATTTTTTTTTTTAAATTTATTTTTCAAATATATTCGTAGCAATAATTTTATTCATGGTTTTAGTTTTTGTCTAATTGATTGATCAGATTTACCAAGATGAAATCAAGGCTATGATAAATCACAAGCGCCGCCGCCTCATCGTCAACATCTCTGATCTCTACTCCTTTAACAACTTGGCTCCTAGGTTCTCTCCTTCTTCTCTCTTTTTATTTTTGAGCGTTGGTTAAGTTAAACTCATTTGGGTTTTTGTTTCTTATTGTTCCGAGTTTTAGGATTTTGAAGAATCCGAGTGAATATATGCAACCGTTCTGCGATGCGGTGACGGAAGCTGCTAAAAGTATTGACCCGAAATACTTGAAAGAAGGAGAAATTCTTCACGTGGGATTTGAAGGCCCTTTTGTTTCTCGTCGCGTCACACCCAGAGAGCTCCTCTCCGAATTCATTGGCTCCATGGTATGCGTCGTGGGCATTGTCACCAAATGTACGTCCTTTTGCCCCCATCCCCCTTTTTTCTTTCAAATTTTAAGTATAATGATTTGTTTGTTTATATAATACATGCTTTAAAATTGCTTCTTTTGGGTTTTGAAACTCCCTAATGCTTTTTGTGCACTTTTACAAACTGTAGATAATGTTTGCAATCCTAGTAATATTGTTTGGAATTTTCCCTATCGATGCTTTTGCTGTGTTCTGTTTTGTGTATAGCTAACTTGAACCTATCCCCATTTAGGTTCTCTGGTAAGACCAAAGGTTGTCAAAAGCGTTCACTTTTGTCCTGCCACCGAGAACTTCACTGTTCGGGAATACCGAGACATCACCTCCAACAATGGTTTGCCAACTGGGTCTGTGTATCCGACTAGGGTAATTTCCACTGTTTAGTTCTCCAAGTATCAGTATGGCTACTGGATTAAGCATTGTCTCATGGGGAATATTGTTTCAGGATGAAAATGGCAACTTATTGGTGACTGAATATGGGTTGTGCCAATACAAAGATCACCAGACCCTATCAATTCAAGAAGTACCTGAAAATGCTGCACCTGGTCAGCTTCCACGAACTGTGGATGTCATAGTTGAGGATGACCTGGTTGATTCATGCAAGCCTGGAGATCGTGTGGCTATTGTAGGGATATATAAAGCTCTTCCAGGGAAAACCAAGGGTAGTGTGAATGGTGTATTCAGGTATCTCTTTTGTAGTGCATCATTTGGATGTAATTCTTAATCCCCCTTATAGTTAGGTCTTTTCTATTTACAATCCTGAATGATCGATTTTCCAATGTAGAACTGTCCTTATAGCTAATAATGTCTCTCTGCTCAACAAAGAGGCCAATGCTCCAATCTACAGTCCTGAGGATCTGAAAAATATTAAGAAGATAGCAGAAAGAGATGACACATTTGACCTGCTTGGTAACTCCCTTGCACCTTCTATATATGGGCATTCATGGATAAAGAAAGCTGTGGTTTTACTGATGCTTGGTGGAGTGGAAAAGAATTTGAAGAATGGCACTCATTTACGAGGGTTAGTTGTACTATTACTATTTAAGTGTCCTTGTAATTATATATCTGATAAAAAATGGCCCTACTGATGTTATTCCTTCCTTTTAGCTGCGCCTTGTTTCTTCTCATTTTATGCTTTATGCAGTCTATACCACTATGATTTAGATTAGGTAGAGCTTAAGTCTTAACATAAGCCAAATTCTTACCCCTTTTTAGGGACATTAACATGATGATGGTTGGAGATCCATCTGTAGCAAAATCTCAACTTTTAAGAGCAATCATGAACCTTGCTCCCTTGGCCATTTCAACCACTGGTCGAGGTTCTTCTGGTGTTGGTTTGACAGCTGCTGTGACCTCTGATCAAGAAACAGGTAAAGCATTTCAATTAATTCTAGCATTTCAGCTTATGGTCTTATTCTTGGTGCTTTTGAGGAAATTAAATATCTCTATGATCAGGAGAAAGAAGACTGGAAGCAGGTGCAATGGTCCTTGGTGACAGAGGTGTTGTCTGCATTGATGAGTTTGACAAGATGAATGATCAAGATCGTGTTGCGATACATGAAGTCATGGAGCAGCAGACTGTAACTATTGCCAAAGCTGGTATCCATGCATCATTAAATGCTCGGTGCAGTGTGGTAGCTGCTGCAAATCCCATATATGGAACTGTAAGTGTATATTGGTTAATAATATGCAGTGTATCTCCACTAGCAAGGTTGTAAATCTTGAGTTTATACAAGTTGTTGGTTGATACATGCAGTATGATCGTTCATTGACTCCAACAAAGAACATTGGACTTCCAGACTCTTTGCTTTCTCGATTTGATTTGCTGTTTATTGTATTGGATCAAATGGATGCTGATATTGATCGTCAAATTTCTGAGCATGTCTTGAGAATGCATCGGTTTCGCTCTGCTATTGATGGAGGTAGGCAAAGTGTCTTCTTGTGTGCTTAAATACTGGTGACACATATACCTATTAAGGTAATTAATAATGCAGGCGAGGCAGCTCTTGATGGGAGTTCTAGATATGGAAGAGAAGATGAGGCTGACGCTGATTCATCTGTTTTTGTCAAGTATAACCGAATGTTACATGGAAGAAAAACAGAAAGAGGTCGAAAGCGTGATACTCTTACCGTAAAGTTCCTCAAAAAGTATATTCATTATGCAAAGCACAGGATTCAGTCTGAGCTGACTGATGAGGTTGAAACTGTTCTTTCTTTTACTGTATATATATATATATATACCCTTTCATTTGAATTGTTTGCTTTCTTCTTTCCTGTTTTAATCAATAGAAATACTGTGCATGGGAATTCTTGAAGATCTTCTCTAAATAAACCTTGATATACCTGTTAACTTGTCTCCCCAACCATATGTAACTTAGCCAGGGCTTACTCTAAAATGTTCTCATCTGCAGGCTTCAGAACACATTGCAACAGCTTATGCAGAGCTCAGAAATGCCAGTTCAAATGCAAAGGTTTGCTTTTGTAATCAGCCAACACCTTGATATACTTATTTCAATTGGTAATTCTAATACTCTGATTGGTATTTGTAGACTGGCGGAACCCTTCCTATCACAGCTAGAACCTTGGAAACAATAATTCGTCTGTCAACTGCACATGCAAAATTGAAATTAAGCAGAAAGGTGATCATTTCCTCAAAAAAAAAAAAAAAAAAGGAAGAAGAAGTCATTTCCTTAATGTGATGGTATTTGGGATTCCATACCCTGTTCATTGTAGATTATTTTTTTTTCAAAACCTGCTTTTATACTCTTTAAATTCAATCTTTAATCTTTGGGATTAACTATGACCAAAACTAATATGGTGATTTCATGTTTATATGTCTTTGAATTGCATGTTTGGCTCTTGCTTGTTGCTGCTTCGTTATAGTTCCTTTTATATGCATTACGTTATGGGTTTATGCATTTTATTCATACTTCTATTGCGTGATGATTTATCATGGCAGGTTACAAAAGTTGATGTTGAAGCTGCTCTGAAAGTTCTAAATTTTGCTATTTATCATAAAGAATTGACGGAGATGGAGGAGCGTGAACAAGAACAACACAGAGAAGAAACTAGAAAACGCAAAGCTGATAGTCAAGGGTGAGCATGTGATAAGCCTTTTAAAATTTGATGTGGATTTTACAAATGCATGTTGCTTATAATTTACAAATAAATATTGCATATAAGCAAATGAATTATCTTTTCTAATGTAGGTACTTTGTTTTCTTTGTATAAACTTTATCAGAAAATTAGTCAAGAATCAAATTTATCCTGATGTGGTTGACCTTCTTTTCTTTTGCTTTAATTAGCCCAACCACAGATGCTATGGAAGTAGATGATCCTCCAACGGCCCAGCAACCCACTGCTACCGACTTTCTTGAAAAGTATGAGTCCTAATAAACACATCAATTACGAGATAACACATGTTTTTTTCCCCAAAATCAACTCTACTCTATTGTATCAGTACTAGTAAAGGTTCATTTTAATTTTTTGTGTGTATCTCCTGTTGATGGATTGCAGAATAGAAGCATTTAAAGCTATATTTGGTCAGCATATGCGAGCAAACCACAAGGATACTATATCAATTGCAGAAGTAGAGAATGTTGTCAACACCGGAGCAGATGCCCGTTACTCAAGGGCAGAGATCATGTCTATATTAGAGGTAATGTTGATATATGGTTGTTGGGATGGGACTGTCGAAATGAAGTTTTCATATTCTAAATGGCGAATGACATTTCTTTCTCCCCCTTTCTTCTTTGGTATAACATTTTGAAGCTCATATCCACTCGTGTTTCACATGATAAATGTACATGTTCTTTATTCCATTTTCCCCAAATATGGAAAGGCTATGTAGTAACAGCCACTTTTTTCACAATTGTCAGAAACTGCAAGATGATAATATATTGATGATAGCTAGCGAAACAGTGCACATGATAGTATGAGATGTAAGGGAAGACCTGGATTGACCAAACTAGGCAGGTTGGGAGCTGCTTTTCTGTCAAGCAATCACCATAGCGGCTATTGTGGGACTGGTGATGGATCCGGTTCACGTCGGCATGGAAGTCATGGTTTGCAGAACTCATGATTTGTTCTAAGATTGTTTTTTAAAAGAATGACTAAACGTTGTAGTTGATAAGTGAACTGAGAATTTTGGCTTCTGCAAGTGAAGATGCAGAAAGTTCAGATCATCTGCTGACATATGATAATTCACCAATGCTTTAACTAATTACTCGTAACTTGTATGGTATTGTTCTTTGGAGTCTGATTTCAATGGTTACTTTGTGGATCTACTCTATGAATTGTTTGCAGTTCAAGAACAGAAGAAGGCAAAGGTACTCGACTCAAATGGGTGTAACCTTTGAGTGCTTAAGTTACGTAAATACCATTAATCTTTGAGAAGGCCAAAAAGCTCAAAACCCATTTATTCTTTCATAAAGACATAAACCATAACACTTCCTTCACTAATTTCTAATTATCCAATGTATTGTAGGACTAGGAGTCAACTAAAGATAATTTGACTAATTTAGTTAATTATGATAAGTTCACTAAATTATTTTTGGTTCCCAAAATCACTCAATTTCCTCAAAATTATAATTTTTACTTTACATATAAATTTAAGAAGAAAAGAAATTAGCCAGTGTTTTTGGTGCAAGAGCAGCTGAGAGTGTGAAGAAAAAAACAAAGTTATTATCAAAAACAGAAAAAGAAAGTAAATAAATTAGAGATTGAATAAAAAATAAAATAACAAAAAATAAAGATTGACAAACAAATAATTTTCTTTGTTATCTAATACAAGATAATATTGCAATATATCAGGAAATATGGTTACGTAAATGTAAAACAAATAGAATAAAGTTGTTAACATTGAAATATATATACATAGACACACACGAGAAGATTTTATTAACATTTACTTCAAAAGAACAATGAATTTTTCAGTCTCCACCGTCCTCAATTCCAGTGCTTAGAATAAGATCAAGTAATCAACCAACAGAAACAGAACTTGAGAACAGAAGAAAACAAGGGTTTGGGCAATATTCACCAAAAAGAAATACAAAGTAGCTTCTTCTTTTTTTTTCTGTTTTTGAAGAAGTAAATACAAAGTAATTAAATTCAAAAGAACCATGCAATCATACAAGCTAGGGCAGCAAGTGCAGCAGGAATACCCAGAGCCACTCCAGCACTTTCCATTGGCGATGGAGCAATCGCCCCTCGATCTTCCCTCCAAGCTGTGGCTCCCGTGATAAAAACAGCAAGAACCGTGATGTAGACAATCAAAATCATGGCCATTTTGCTACCCTCCATTTCTGACCAACTCAGCTGAACTTAAGAATTACAAAAAGTGAGAGAAGCTATTGGAGTGTCTTTTGAGCTTGACTGAAATGAAGAGATTTCAAATATTTTTATAGGGAAAGATTATGCTAATAATCAAGTATGTGCCAACCACATTTTGTTGGGTTTAACCACAAACAAAATCATTTGAAGGCAGTGTGTTGTCAGCTAATTTCTTTTTCCTTTCTCACTCTTGTAAACTATACCAGCCTGGACTGACTATGCAACGGCACATTATACATTGTTTACAATCATGAAAATTAAACTGATTTAAATATACCTATAATCATTCCAGGCAAGTTTTAGCTAATTCCCACTTGCCAGTGAGGATAAGCTGCTTGTATCACACAATATTTTCAGCGTTAGATAATTGGGTTTTGGGTTGAATTATTCATGGAAACATTATCTTTTGTGACTATTGTCTTTGCAGTCTTTCAGTATTTATTATTCCACTTAAAATAAAGCTGTCAATCTGTCAAAGAGTTTGCCAATTTAGAAATGGGGGATCACGTTAGAGAATTACCTTGAACATTCTTTACAATGATAAATAAACATTATTTGGGCATCTTAAGGCATAATTTAACATACCAGTAACGTGGTTAGTAGGGTAGCCTATAAATGTAAATTAAGCAGGAAAATATGATTAGATAATTAGATTGGAAATGGTTTAGTTGGCATTTTCATTGTATTTTACTTGCTTTCTTGGAAGCAGAATAGCAGTTAGCACCAACAGCTGTATCATTTTTATTCAAGATCTACACGCACACATACTCTCTCTCTCTCTCTCTCTCTCTCTATATATATATATATATATATATATATATATAGCCTGATTTATTTGGGCCAAAGTCGAAATATAGGTCAAATTTAGAAACAATAGGCCCAAATTGCAAAACAAAAGGCCAGAGGTTATTCTGTCCAGAGAAATTCTGACCAAAGAAGTCCACAGAATAGGGTATTTTTGGGCCACAAAACTGGATTCAGAGCCCAATTGAAAATTTGGACAAATTGGATTTGGAAGGTTTCTTTGCTTAGAAAAATCAAAAGAAAAGCCAAATCGAGTTACCAGAAAAAATCCCAACGACGGGAAGATCAACTAAGAGAAATCGATCGAAGTTCTCATAATCTCAGCTGAAGACCTCAAGAACTTGAAGGACGTGATCAAAATGAAAGCATTCGCGGTTGTCTACGTGGAAAAGGACCATGTGGATGAGTATGGAGGGACCAACCCCAATTGGAACGAAGTAGTGAAGGTAAAGTTACACGCAAAGCTGGCGGAGAACGTTGTGTTGGCCGCTCTGAACGTTGACATATACGCGCATGGTCAAGTGACGTAAGGGAGTAGCCTGTGGGGAGTGCAAGGGTTTTGCTTTGCAATGTGTTGAAAGGAGGGGATGCTTCTGAGCCGGTTGATAACCCTATGCAGTGCAGGTTTGGAGGGGTTAGGGTAGGCCAAGGGTTGCTTAATTTGTGGGTTCCAACCCACTGGGAGTTTCTTGATGAGTAGGGAGCCTTTGTCGTTTAGCGTGAAGGAAGTGGCAGTGGAACTGGAAGAGATGGTTGAAAGAGAGGTGGTGCTGGCGCTTGGAGTAGGTGCGGGCGGCGGAGAGGAGGGGTGAGTGATGGTGTCTTTTTATTTCTTTTTAACAGGGATGGTTTTTCCGGTGAGGAAAAGGTTACTGACCAAAAAAATAAATATTTTTTACAAAAATATATGAAAAGTTAGTCAATAACAACAACTGACTCCGTGGCCCAATGGATAAGGCGCTGGTCTACGGAACCAGAGATTCTGGGTTCGATCCCCAGCGGAGTCGCTCATAATTTCTTTTTGTTTTTGCCTCAGAGTGATAGTCCACCATCGTTCATTGCCTAAAACATATACATTACTCATAACTTCTTTTTGTTTTGCCTCAGATTGATAGTCCTCCATCGTTCATTGCCAAAAACATATACATTGCACTAGCAAAATCGAACTCCTGCTTTTTTAATGCTTTTTGTCTTGCCTCAGATTGACAGTCCCCCATCGTTCATTGCCTAAAACATATACATTACACTAGCAAAATCGAAACCCTGCTTTTTTATAAATGCCAATGCTGCAATTCTATCCATACTAGATAGGATAACATGAAAAGAATTTTGACAACAAAATTAGCCACGTCCATGTTTGGAGAGAGAAATGAGGATGGTGCAACTTCAATGGCCATAACTTCGAAAAGAATGATGATAAAACCAACAAATAATTCTATTCTAGTGAGTAAAACTGGTGAGTTGGTTTTTATCCTATGAATTGTTATGTACAAAAGAGGAAATCAACAGAAGTTAGTAAACAATAAAAGCGAGTTTCAGAAGGAGTGCTCAAGAAAATTCCATCCTTTTTAGTTGCAGATCGAAGCAACGATGGAGCCTATCACATGCTTGTGCTCAGACATAAAGCAGTTACTTGAGCTTAAATCCCGATCCTTGCTAATAAAACAATGCAGTGATCTCCTTTCCAGCTCTCCCAAATCAAGTCTGTTCTGTTTTTTATGCAGCTTTTAGTTTCTCCAGTTGTTTCTGAAGATAGGCCTGCCTGAGTTTCTCACGACGAGCCACTGCTTGCTCTTGCCTTTGCAATTAAGCTCAGACACCTTGTCCCTTGCTTGATTTGCTTCTTCATGAACCTCCCTGTGAATAACCATCAATTAAACAATTAAGGCCTTCAGTTTTAGTTTCATCACTATAACATCTATATCAATATGCCACAATACATAGCTTTGTGCAAGCATAAACCGGCAATCAAAAAACATTTTCAGTTTAACATTAAAGTGCAACTTTTAACTACTTTGAATCTTCACTACCTTCAGTAATGTCCTAGATTATCATATTCCATGGACTATTGCCTAGCCTACATGGTATATACCACTCCCTCGGGCAATTAAGTCATCAAAAATAAGCAAAGATAAAACAACCACAACTACTGGTTGTAGCAAGGAATTAAAAAAGGGGCATTAACTTAAAATTTACAGCTCCTTTTCCAAAACTTCGCCATTCATACCTATGGTAAATTTGCATACCATTCTTATCTCAAATCTTTAAGCACTCAACAATGTATTCCATAAAGGGAAGTAGTTAAATCTCAAGCCCATAAAGGGAAAGGAAGCTAATGATGGAAAGGGATGAAAGATCTTTGCAACTAGGAGATTGTTCTACTCCACGACCAGGAGATGGAGTGGTTAAATCTCAAGCCCAACCTGCCAGTTGCACCTCTAATAAGCTATAGCCATAGGCAACAATCCAAACTGTAATAACGGGAAAACATGTCTGAAATTTGTAAACTCCATCAAACATCTCATCTTATGTTAACCTGAATAACATTAACCAAAAAGAAAACTAAAACCCTCACCTTACCAAACGCTTATGCTCATCATTGTCTACAATTCCAGCCGTTCTTCCAGGCCCTACAAATCTCGTGTTAAAGAAAGGACCATCATCACTCTCACCGTCTTCACCTCCTGTTTGTAAATTATCCGAAGCATGATCAACTTGCGGCTGCAATTCCCCCTGCTCAACACCCTTCCTGAAAAAGTCAACACAATATTTCTCCTTATCTTCCTCATCCGACAACTCTCCTCTGACTAACTTATCATATAACTCAGCCTTCTTCTCCAATGCCGCGTAGCTGGCTGATCCATCCTTCACCGCTTTCAGCTCAAGCTTGTCCCTACAATCAAACAAACCAAATTGAGAGACCCAAAAAGAAAAAATTTCTAATTTCGCCAAATTAGATTAACTTTTATTAAAAATAATAACAGTAATGATAAAAAGAAGGGTAAATAAAAATATTTGAGGACGCCAGCGTCGACGCCGGAGTTCTTGAGGGAGAAGGTATCGCGAGGGGCGATCCTTTTCTTGGCGCTGTGGTACTCGACATCGGGACCGTTTAATTCCTTGGATTTCTCGGATTCTTCCTGTGATTTGTAGAGTTGGGCTTTGAGTTTTAGGATGGAGGAGGCACCAACGCCTTCGATGGCGCGGTGTTTCTTAGGCATGATGAAGGATTCCGTTAGCCATCCTAGCGACTACACCACCACCATCTTTTTTCTCTGTTCCTCTACCATTTTTTAGACTTCTCTACAATTCAGATATCTCTACGTTTCTATGTTCTATACTATCGCCTGAAATTTATTTTGTTACAAACGAAATGATTTGCAAAACAAGAAATTTTCTGCACCGTTGTTGTAAAGTTGCCTCTTCAAAATCCGCAGAGATGAAAAGATCCGGAATCGTCCACCCAAGAAAATCCCGGGTCGGGTGGTTTATAGTTGTGGAGAAAAGTGAAAACACCAACGCGTGAAAAGCACGCATATTAGACGACTCAGGACCCCTTGGCGCGTGTCGTAGTCCTGGAGTTTTTTCTCTTTTATACATCAATTTTTTAAAATTCTACATTGACCCCAACTATTTATTTTCCTACATTTTTTTAATTATTTAAAAATGAAGAAAAAACAACAAAAATGTAACTCAATTTTGGAAGAATGAAGTGTACGGATATTCATATATGCATCAGATTGACGTTAACAGGTTATTTCACTCTTTTTGTGCTTCCATGAATTATAAATTACAATCCAGGGTATGAACTACAGGCTCTTCAAAAGAAAGATCATTTGCGCTTCCTTCCTGTCGCTGCTTTCCAAGCCTGTAACATGTGGTTTACTATTTCCTGGGCGCCATGCCCATGCTTCACCTGCAAATATATAATTTACACAAGTCATTAACAACTAAAAGAACTTGTATTGTAATGCCACGGTCCCCAAGCAATAAAATTGATGTGTTACCTCTGTGCCTTTCGTGGAAGGTGAAATCAAGAAGGGTTTGAGAGAATGAAGGGAAGATACAAGTTTCATGATATTAACAATAAACAAATTTGTTGATTTTCAAACTAATTGATGCAACACATGACAAAGAATACCGTGCTTTTATTTCGCTTTGGTGATGGATGCACTGAAGTACTCAACTAACCTGAGCAAAAACAAAGGGCCCTCCATCACGCTCCATGACCGCTAAGCCAACTCCAACTGCAGGGGCAAGGTCAGTCTTGTTTATCACCTATTATTGTAATGTTATGAATTCATGTTAAAATTCCAAATTTTACTTGTGAAACTGGAGACATCATGGACAAAAATAAGTAGAAACAAAGCAATGCAACAGACGATAAAATCAAATCAAATACGAAGAGATTAGCTTGGGTTATCCCTGGGCCACCTTTCCTAGGGATTTTTTCACCACAAGATACATCTATTATATAGCTGATATAGTCGGCTAGTTCCCTGCTGAAGTTTGCAGCTAAATTATCTGCATCCGTAGAAGTTCACACAAACCTGGAAATTTCTGATTGAACTTGGTTCTACTTGGCAACACTCAAATGTACAACTGTTTTTGTTTTTCGCTGATTTATAGAGGCTAATACTCACTTTTTCATTCTTCCTAGAGCAAAAAATAAGGGTAAAATGCACAATTAGTCATCCAACTATCTGAGTGTTTTTAAAATGATCATCTAATTATTAAAATTTTGAATTTAATTATTTAAATTTAAATTAAGTATTTTTTTTATCACTCAATCGTTGAAACTATATAAATATGACACTATCACATCAGCAATCATGTATCAAATGGCACGACCACATCAACAATTACGTATCATATGGCATTACCACATTATTTAACATATTATATAATACTATCATATTATCTGACATGTTATATGACATACTAATAATTGTCATGAAAAATGATGTAATAATATTACGTGACGCTTGGTAGCTAACATGATACTGCCACGTCAGCACATCATTAAAAACAACCGTTGAGTGATAAAAAAAAAAAAAAAAAACTTGAAGTGACTGAATAAAAATATTAATAGTTAATTGACCATTTTAAAAACATAGACATAATTGAATAACCAATGGTTTATTTTACCAAAAAGGGTATTAGAAAAAAAAAATGTTAGATGATTTTCACAACGTGCTTCTTTCTCCAAATTTTCACACCGAATCACTTCATTAAAACATTGAACTTACCTCCTCCAGATTCATAAAGAAGTAAATCTGTTTTGTACAAGTTAGAAAGCTCCTCAAGAGGACCAAAGATTGATGCTGATGTCTTCACGAATAGCCTGTTTCTGCAGCACGTATCCTTTCCTCTGGAGGTGCTTCATGTTTCACCAAGAACTCACCATCTTCTTTTGTGAATATATCATTTGTCACCTGAAGTTATGCCATGCTTCCCAGTATATCATTCAAGCTTTGGCTTAAGTTACTGCTAAAGAATAAATTTTAAGTCGCATGCTGATTTGAGAACTGAAAGCAGAGAGGACTTTTTATGCACGCCATACATCAATGAGTTAAAGCTGAATAGTAGATTGGTAGTCCAAAAGAAGAAGCTTTTCCTCAAAGAAAGAAATGTTTTGTAAAGTTTGGTATCTTCAATGTAACCTTACTCAAACTGGAGTTGGAGATTCAGTAAAAAAATTTGTTGCAGCTGTAGCTGCAATGAAAATTTTGATGCCCTTTCTTAATCTTTTTAAAAGTGGATGGCCTGGTTTATACCACATGGTGCACTTAGGGTCAATCTATCGACCATCCTACTTAAAGAAGCTACAGCCGCTCAACCATATCTGCTTAAAGAATGGCCATTGTGGCACTGGTTAATCAATTATTCTCGCAGTCTAGTCTAGATAACATGTGGAAAACCTTTCCTCTGAAAGCGTGTCCATGCATATCAAAGATCTAAAGATTTGAATTTAACAGAAGGTAAACACTCATCACCAAATGGCAGCTCAAAGTACAAGATGCGTCATAATTACAGCAGCAAGACTGTACTTATCTCGCAGGAATTTACAGAATGCCAGCATTAAAGCATTTTTCCTGTATGGCAGAACCAATATAATCAGATTGCATTTATTAGGATATTTTAGGACAGCACCAAGAGTTGCATTATAATTTTACAGTTAAACAGAGGAAAAACAATTATAGGCCATGACTAGAAAAGAATGAAAGCACTTAGGACCAAAAAAATTCAAGAATTTAAGTGAAACAAAAATAAAAACCTTGAAAAACTAGTATTACGTCACTATTACCCCAAAAAAACCAAGACCACAAACCTTCAAGAAAAGTATAATATCCATGGGCTTGGAGAGTAAACTATTTTATTATACAAGAGTTTTCACAAAAAAGAAAGGTTGTGCTACGTGGAGTGGATTCTATACTATTAACCAGAAAACTCTAAATCGAAATCTCCATTAGTTCACATTCAATAAAGCATCATCTTTGTGGCAAAAAAAAAGCGTCATCTTTGTTGAAAAATCTTATAAAGTGGCAACTTTAATCATTTCTTAATCTTCATAGCAAAGAAATAACAGATACGAATATACAATACAAAGTAAGTGAAACCATGTTAATTGTTGATACTAAGAAAAAAAATTAAAAGGAAAATAGAAAATACCTAGTACCAACAGGGCCACCACTACCAACAGTGACAGCTTTTCCATTGAAATCCCTGTTGACAAGTGGTGGAGCTCTTCTGTTGAAGTATCCAGGTGAGTAAATGGGTTCATGTGAGTGTGGTGCCAGTCCATCATGGCTATGATAAACCCTCCCATCAGCTCCCACCCATGATGTTGTTGATTTATTGTAGAATATCAACATATAATCAGAAACCAGATCATCAAAAAATTATATACACTCCATTAAAACTGCAAAAAATTATATGAGAATATACTTACTCACGGTCATGTTCATGATGATGACGGTGGTGATGGTCATGGACATGGTGATCATTGGAAGCCATTTGATTACTGTCTGGAAAGGTTTTACTGTGTGGAGAGTCTTTGTTTATCTTCAATGAGAAATGAGGAGGAAGAGTTCAGTAATCTCAATTGTTTAGATGCAATCATAAGGCATTTGATTCAAGAAAATCTCATGTATTGAGTATCCATGCATTGGGCTTGTCAAATCATCCGGGTTACAATAAAGAAAGATTGGCCCATTAAGCCATGATAGACAGTCGATTCGGCTGGTTAACCCAAAGTTCTCTTTCCTTTTTCCTTTTTTTTTAATTCTCTAACATAAAGTGAGTCTTCAATACTTTCATGCCAATCACTTATCCTAGAAAAGAACAAAAGAAAACTTGTAGTAGATGTCTTAAGAAATAACATGATTTAGCAGTTCAATGGTCTTATTTTTCTCCTTTTCTTTCTCAGACAAAAGGAAATTAAAGGTTAAAACCATTGGTAACGGATCAGACATTGGACAGAGTCGGTAGTTAGAGATTACCAGTACAAATAACCATAAATCTTGCTTGATCAGATTATAGAATCACTAAAAAACTAGAAGCAATCTTTTACATATCCCCATTAGTATTCAACCAACCAGAAAGTAGAATATCATTACCTCATCATTCATTCATTCAGCATCCAGATACATGAGAAGTTTACAAATTTTTATTACATTTCTCAAACATAATCACGCTATAAACACCTGCATCTCAAGTACCTAAAAATCCAAATATTCATCACAACAAAATAAATATCTATTATAGACAAATGATAAGTTATTCATACTCCACTTTTTGATCCATATAAACATACTCCATCTGAATTATTCTTCAATGGGGATGTGCTTTCTATCAGCATGAAAGGCATCAAAAAGTAGGGTATGAAATTTTTTGACTACTTAGATCAATTTGTAAAAAAGAAGAAACTAAAAACATATGAAAAGAATCCGAAGTTAGTCAAACAAATTCCCAAGTGCATTACGCTTGCCACATGGTTCAGGCAACAAGATCTTTTCGTTATCCCTTTGAGTGAGCACATTCTCTTGATCAGAAGGTGGGGTTGGCTGCTGGGAATTGCCTAATATAAGCCCTTGCTTTTGTATGTACTCCCATTTGTCTTGGAAGAGGTAAAAGAAAGCAATGAAAGAGACCTCAGCAGTGAAAAGTATAGTCCAAATACCAGTACTTCTTGATGTTTTCTTATGGTAGGCTTTTAAACCAGTGTAGATGTTAATGATCCCCATCAGAGATATTACTGTTCCAAGAATCCAATGTGTTAAGTACCATGTGCTTCTTCTTTTATTTCCTCTGTAAAAAAAGGGGGGAATTAATATAAAGTTAGAAATAACAAGGTTCTACCAAAAAAAGATGAATAAAACTATACAAAGGGGAAAAAAAATATGAATTAAGTTTGGTGAATCAATCACTTTGAAAAATGTGACGGAATAGATGGTTAAATATTGATCCCATTAACCAATGAGTTGTTAGCTCAACAGCATTGGAGTCGACTTCAGAGTTAAAAGTGTCAAGTTCGAACCCCAATCATAACCAAAAGACAAAAAAATCGAACTGATTACCTAGGAGGCCTGCAAAATCCAATCAAGACTTGCATCCAAATGGCACCATAAAGGGCTAGACCTAATCTTTGGTGGCTGTTATTGAATGAATTCTCAAAATTCTTTATGGACATAACAGCTCCAATTGTTGCAAGCAGCACTGCAAGCATCTGTCAAATGGAAAGAAAATAGTATATATTCCAGCTTTAAAGTAATTCATATCCTAAAGTACTCACTAAATTTAAGAAGAAAATTATAATAATCAATTAAATATGCATTACTGAACCAACCAAAGCACAAAAATATTGACACATGATCATAATTATATGGACAAATAAACTACATGATCTCCCTTTCTTCTTATTCAAGTCTTCATGATAAATATGATTTAGTTGGTTTAGATAATTACTGGGAAAAATCAATGGGCTGTATGAAGAAATTAAAAACTGTGGACAGCATTATTAAAGTGGAAGTGGGTTATAATAGTGAAATAAAACAAACAAACAACCAGCTCCATCTGATCTCATCTTTACACACAAATTATAGTTATGATCTGCAGCTATATGTAAAACTAGTCTTACCACAGCATATATATTTGCTATATGTAATGCTAATAGATTTGCAGAAAGAAATCAAGAAGAGAATACCTGCAATATTGCATGGAGATAGAATAAAACCTTTACCCTCCTCCCACTTTCCTCTTTGTTGGCCATTCTAATTGTAAGTATCCCAACAGGCATTAAGAACCCAATTGAAACCCAGAGGAGAAGGCCATGAACAGCCATATAAGATGTCATTTGAGTACTCTGCTGCAATATTGTTAATTAAAGAATGAAGCATGGTTAAACTCAATCCTAATAATATATATTGACAAATGCATGCATGGTCATATATATGCTCAGCATTAATTTTCACGTTAATTACCTTCTGAAGTTACATTTATTAATAGTTATGTATTAACTTCAAAAACAATGAAGATGGGGAAAGATGACATTAGGATGGAATAAATTGGAAAGACGTCGTAAATTTGAACTATAAATTGATCATTAATTTGAACTTCCTTGGTGGCAAAACAAACTAGCTAGGACAAAAAGTTGGCATACCTTGTGTTCTTTAATGCCCTTGTGATTGCTGGATGCAGTAACCTCCCCATGAGATGAGCAAGAAACAAGGGGTAAAAGAAAAACATTGTATAATGCAGAAATAGTGAATGAACCTAGCAAATGAGAAATTTGCATCTTCAATACCCAAGGCAATGGAAAAGAACCTAAACGCATAAAAAGCCTGCTCCAACTACCAACCTTCTTTCCTTTTTCTTCCTCTGATCAAAACATCCCATATCTTTCTTTATAAACATAAAGGAAGACTCATTTGACTACAATTAATTTAAGTGGCTATTAGAGCATTAGAGAGGAGAGAAAAAGTAGTGTATAAAATGAGCCAGCTCTTCAAGAAACTGCATCTTTTTCTTTCTGTATAAAGAAGCTAATGTGCTATGATTAGTGAAAATACAAAAGTGGAGATGCAACCTACCATTCTGTATTGGCTTAAAAGATTTCTGAAGCGTGGACTATTCATGGTGGTTGTAGGAAGAAGATTATTATATATAAATAGGATAAAAAGGTAACTGAGGGCTATCAATGGACAAATAAGAATTTCAACATTGTGGGGTTTACATTCCCTGCACTTTTTGGTTGCATAGGATGGCAAAAACACAAGATGGTCAAGATTTAAGGATGATTTGGGCCGGATGGATTACACAGATCTAATCCTCGATTACTCAATAACTTAGACTTCATTAAATCTAAATATTATGTCTGATCAATATCTAATTATGGATTAAGATGTAATGTTCTTAATGCTGAAATTTGTATGTCTAGAACTGTAGCTAATGGTTCGAGAATACTGCCTTAGAGGCATAAAATCTTTAAAAAATTTGCTTTCTTCATCCCATAAAAAAAATTTGCTATTCATTTTGAAAATAATAATTGTTCATTGAACATTAAAACGACAGAATTATTGCTACGTTGAAATTCTTCAAAGAAAAAAAAATCAGTGACAAATGGAGCCTTATAATCTAATAAGGGAAGAAATGCATTGGGGAACAAAGCAAAGCAACATGAGTAATTTCTATTCACTTGTCTTGATGAGGGCAGCGTTCAACGTTTTGAAATAAGACTAGAGTCAATTTCATCTCTCTTTTCCCTCCCTTTCTTCTCCAATCTATTAACTCTTGCTGACTTCTTGTTTGACATTCTTTACTTACAGCATATTAAAACTTATTCTCCATTCATCCAACCTTTTTTTTTCGGTTTTGGCTGATGTTGACAGAGTTTCAATAAATGCAAAGAGAAAAGGAGAAAAATAATATTGCATGACCAGTTTTCATGAATTGTGAAGGTTAAAAAAGGATGAGTGATATAATAAGATATATGGGCTTAGAGACATGTAGATAGTGATGCCATTGGCAAAAACCAAAGATACATACTACTGATTGAAAAACTCAACTACTCTTTGTCCCACCAGGGCAATCAAGCACTGCACTCGATTTCTTCAGATTCATGATAACGACGTGCACAACACAACCTGACAGATCGTAGTTTAATTATTAGGCTAGTCGATGAAGATAATCCAACCTTGTTAGTTCACAAGTGAATATGCTTCAACCCCAATCATCCAAATTACTCCACCAACTACTGCATGATCTCTTTCAGTTTTAAAAACACCATTCTTTCTTTTCCCAAGAGAACTTAAACTTGAGAGTAATTACAATTCCATTAATCCTTTTATTTTTAAAATATATAGACTGCAAACTTGAAAAGGATCTTTTGAAAATATATTTTAAAGACGGTCCTCTCATCAAAGCTATATAGTACGTGAAACATGATCTTTTCGTTAATTCCTCAACTAAATAATGACATTAAATATTTTGAAAAGTCGTAGTAATCATTACCCATTGCATTATATTCAATGAGCAATTTTTAAAGAGAGCAAAAGAGATCATCAAAGATTTGGTAGGCAATCAGCATCGTCATCATCATCCTCATTCTCCTTTGCTCTATGTTAAACCAAAACCCTATTTTTTTCTTTGGTTTAACCTGGTAGATTTCCAGTTCATACGTAAATATAAACGTCAAATGCTACCAAAAAAAAAAAATCAAACTCTAAAGTGGAAAACAAATTGAATGATCTTTACCTTTGCAACTTTACTTTTCTTGGGTACTGTGTCTTTGTGCTCCACCATCTGCTTTTCTCGTACAAGCTCCAAACGAGAACAACAAAATAACATTACTATTTGTTTTAAATTATTTTAAGATATGGGGTAGTATTTGATTTCGATTAAACGTTTTCATTTACCATTATAGAAACTATAATTATCAGATGGAAAGGTTTCACTCGTCTTTGATGGCTGATATGATTATGTTTTTTGGTTAATACTTTTCATGGTGGGTAGGGTGATCTATTCATAATTAATATTGTTATTAGCTATTAAGTGACAAAAGCCAATTAGTTAGAAATTGATTAGGTTAATTGAGAGGACTATGGCTATCCTATGTATCATAAGCATGAAGAGAGAACTGATCACTGGTTTATTCACTGCCCTTTCCCTGTGAGGATATAATAGATTTAATCAATAGAAACATACAAAATTTGGTGAAACTCATAATTGCATGATTTGAACAATGACTCCAAGTAGAATAATTAGACGAGAACAATTTGTTTTGATATGCATAATTTTGTGGGGCTATTTGATTATAAGAAACAATGTCGTTTTTTGGTGTCAAACCCCACATTTGGAGGCAACAGCTTCACCCTGTGCGTCTTTTCTTTGAAGTTTGAATGGTGTTCTTATTGGTTGTGATGTATTGGTTTTCAATTATACATATCATCTAAAATACGATAATACAAAAGCAATAAAAAAATGTAATTTAAATTTTTAATAAAAATTATATATGAAATTAATAAAATAAAAAATAAATTTTATATTTTCATATTAATAAATTTTAATACGTTATTTTTATATAAAATATGATATAAATATACAAATTATTAATATTTTACATGATATAAATATATGAAATATCAAATACAATGAGAGAGAAGATTATTAGAGTCTTTAGCTCTAATGAGAGATATTCATGAGCTGGATAGGACCAAATTTGGACTAAATTTATGTTTAATATTAATATTTTATATGTTTATTCAATTTTATTTGACTCAATTTTTTGAATTCAAAATTTTTTTGAACCCAATCCATGTTAAGAAAAAAAAAATCCAAACAACTCAATTTATATAATAAAAAAACTTTTTAAAAAAATAAAATAAAATATTGAAACAAAAATTTAAATATACATGAATATAATTATAATAATTTAATTATATTAATATTATTTTAATCGAATCAAGATCTAAAATTTAAATGATCTAAAAATTTTATGTGAACCCTTTTATCAAACCTTAATTTTTCATTCAAATTTTTTCTAAACTTAGACAGACCTTATTCTTTTATTCTTTAAATCCTAAAAGTCTGTTTATGAAAGATAAGAGTAAGTTGTTTCCGGACTGTAGTTTTTGACAATTTAATGGCAACTAACCTTGAGAAATCCAAAACCTACCAAAAAGAATTCAAGCATTAAACTATATTTTATATGAAAGAGAAATGACAATCACATACCGTACCAACTTCTATAAATAAACAAAATGTGTTATTGAAACCCAAAAGAACTAAGTTCAACCTGTCTAACAGCCTTGGCTTCTCAAATTAAAACAAATATCCGATCAACAAACTGATAGAAGTACACTACAAAAAAATTCAGAACTAGAACCACCTTTAACTCTCTCCTTTATCAAATGAGAGAAATTACATAAACAAGTTGGGCCTTGATGCCTTGTAGGTTGTCTTCAGCTTCCTGGTAGGTGGCCTCACCTTCTTGAACACCAAGGGGAACTTGATTTTGGAGTTGTGGAACTGCTTGGTGCTATCCCTCTTGCATAGCTTAGCTGGGATGGTTGCAGTCTTGATAATCTGGATGCAAGGGAACCTTACTCTGTGGCGAGAAGCCATCTCATTGTACATCTGTTCAACAGCTCCATTCAAAGTAGTGTCACGGTATTCCTTGTACATGTTGTGATAACCGGTGCGGCTTTGATAGCGAAGCCAAATACCATAATTCTTGATCTTGGTAGGATTCTTCTCAAAAATCTGCAGAGATATAATTTAGAAAAAGGACATTGAAAAGAAAATCAAAGAAGGTATCAGAAATCAAGTTCCCTTTGGTGTCTCACATAATCAAATTATGCAATCACGATAACATTTCCTTCTTCAAAGTAGAAGCCACTTTTTGAATAGTAAATGACGTGATCAAAAAGCAAAGAAAAGAGATAGGAGATCACAAGGAAAGGTAATAACTTATTGGCAGCATCTTGTTATCAACGATTTCAAACCAATTTAGATTCCAAGAAATGCTTTTACATTCAAATCTTAACTATGTAGCCCCGAAAAATTATGTGACCAAATCATTCAATGCAATGGCATTCAGGAAACAAAAGATGAACAAGTTATTAAAAGTTCTTTTCTACAAAGAAAAAAGCGGATAGCATAAAAGACCAGAAATTTCATATTCAAAATGGATGAAATTAAAGTGTAAACAAAATTGGCATGAAAGCCTTAAGATTAGATGTTTCTTGCGTATCTAATTATACTGTTTCTCACAAGACAAATTTAAAGACAATAGCTGATCAATCACAAATTCCCCTCTAAATTGCACAGACATATGCCAAATGTTGCAAATCCCACCAAATAGTTTCAGACACTAACCAACATGACCCTAGCTCTAACAAAATTATCAGAACATACAAACAAAAAGATACTTCTATTCACATTTCAACTTATCATCGCATAATCAATTACTTCATACAGAGTGAACCATTCAATGGATAACACTGAGCTCATACCTCATTGATGGCAAGTACTTGACCATTGCTCTTCTTAACCTTCTTCAGCTTCCTCAAGAAGTACCTGATGCATATTCAAGGACAAACACAAGTCAGAAACCTCAACAACTTCCATCAAATGGGATTTATATTATACACCCAAAAATCAATCATGGCAACGAATATTATCACTAACCAGAACTTGGACTTGGCCCGAACCTCATTGGTGGCCCAAAGCTTCATCCTGAAAATCTTGGGGTGCTCATCGCTCTCCGTTGGGAGGGCCCTCCCAACAACCTGGTACTGGTGAAACTGCAACCATAAACAACCAAGATCAAAACTTTACTTTTCATACTTATATTAATTCAAAAACAGCTTAAAGCAATACTCTCCTTGGTAGCTACTAAAACTCATTAAAACAATAGAAAATGAAGCTCCTTTATCCCATAATTTACCAACAAATTCCAACGAAACAAAGAAAGAAAAGTTCAAATGGATCGAAACCAAGCATAACATAATAAAACCGCCACCATATTTCAACATAAAGTTCCTTTAAAGAACAAAGCGCAATTCCGAAGCTAAAAGAAGGAGATCGAGACGGTTGCGGGGGAGATCTAAGAAAAGAGAAACGTTGATCACTTACCCTGAAAGTAACCATCCTGAGGAAGAGAATATCTAAAGAATTTCGCGGCCACTTTCTCTCACAGTAGAGGAAATTAGGGTTTTCTTTCGATTATATAGCACGCTAGCACTCAAAACCCTGGACTTCACAAACGGGCCTGGGTCGGGCTTATTTAATTCAGTTCCTGTTTTTACTTCGGATTGGGGAAATTTTAACACCTCGGCCCCTAATTAGATGATTATGTTTTGGGTCTTATATTAATACAAGCCCAATTGTGAATTTTAAAAAAATTCATTTGGGCATAAAACCACTTAAAGTTAACCCATTTATGGCCCAAATTTGTATTAATATTACCCAATGACATTCATATTTTCTTTTTTGGCCCAAAACTAACATACGTTCCCCTACCCTTCTTTGCCAGCTGGATTAGCTATAACGTTGATTTTCTTTTTCATTAGCTGTTGTTTGCCCTGGAAAGAACAGAGGCCGGAAAACAGTCAATTCAAGTAATAATAAATTCCTGGATTTCAAGTTCTGTTAAAAAAGAAATTATTTGACACATTAACAGTGCAGGTTTTTAATTTCAAAAAAAAAAAATTTAAGATGATAACATATATTTTATTTCTTTTTAAAATTTTTCTTTTATATTTTAAAGTATGCACTAAGAGAAATCAGCCAATCATTTAGGAAATTGTCAGCAATTCAGAAGAAAATCTAACTACATGTATAAGTATGAATACCCAACCCAATTTTATGGGGATTCGCTTTAATGCGTAGAATAAGAGTTCTGAACAATTTTTTTTACAAATTACAAACACCAATCCTTCTGGGATTTTTCTCAAAATTACAGCCACCTTCATAGTAGTCCATACTCACCTCACCTGGGATGAGCTCCCTTTGTCACACCAAAGGTAACAACAATCATAGCTACAACAGACTGCACAATTAGAATGGAGAGCACCAAAATGGAAAAGATTTTAGTGAGCACAATCAAGACTTCGATCCTTGCTTCTCACAAATGAAGAAGAATCTACTATCATATTCAGGAGCAAAAGTCGAATGAGCAGTCAAGATTAGTGATGCATACACAAACCAGTGGAAATACGTACAAAGTATAGTACTCAGTTTCAAAGGGCAGTGAGCACATCAATCGTGCATTTCCAATGCATTTTCATGAATGAAAAAATGAAGATGCACATAAATGCGAAGAGTGACCAACAATTTAACTGAACTCCACAATTCACCTATTGCATGAGCCTGTTGCTGTTGGTTTCCTTCTTAGCCATGTAATTTTCACGATTTATACGATACATGTAAAACTACTTCAGCACCAATTATATCATGAAAACTTAACGTGTAACTTCAGAGTAACAGGGTGGTTCACTCATACTGAATAACATATAAAGTTAAGAGGTCTTTTACTTTCATTCACTTATGAGTTTCCAAACATATTTTCAAAATAAAGATAGATGAGTATCAATCTCCAGTATAACATATAACAGAATAAGACAAGAATGGTACTCAAAGAAACCATATGCAAATAAGAAAAGAAATGATAAAAAATGAAAACTTACAGCAATTGCACATGCGAGGTATCCTGCCTTTTCTCTATAATCCACTTGGACACAGAGTAGAATAAAAGTTCCAATATACCAGGGAATACCACCAAAGAAGAAGCCAAGAAAAAACCTAGCCAAGGCATCCAAAATAGTTATGGCAAGTCAACAAGAAACTCGTTTAACATGACCTTTGAAGTTAGTCACTGAAAGATGGAATAAATTTAGACTGGCAACAAATAATGGAATTTTTGCTTCTTGCATTCCTAAAAGCTCCATTCCATGAAAATTAAAGTAATATAATGCATCTTTGATACATATATAGTTGCCTAGACATTGATACCTCAAACTTCGTAGAGGATGCATATTATCATTCTTCTCATTTGATAATTTAAACAACTCAACCAGGTTTCAAAATTTCACCAAGTCTGTCAAATTCCATGTATTAGCATGAGATATGCATTTTTCATCCTCTTAACTGATGGTGAATGGCTACAATAGGAACAATAATTTCTGAATCAAATCCCCTATAAAAAGACCCAAAAGGAATCAATATCTGAGTCTTTCGCAGCCGGTCAGCTTACAAATGTTGATATGGACATCTAGATTACACGCATATTTATTACGCGACATAACAAAACAAGCAATAATAACAAAGAAAAAGACATAGTTACATCAATCTGTTTATCTGCCAGCTTTCCTAACAATCTATGCCCAACGAAAAAATGCCTCTAAATGGCCATAAGAATCTACGAGAAAACCTACTTTCACATTGTTGTAAAACAGTAATAAATACAAAACACTACAAAATATCAATCCAAAACTTACAATAACCAACCCATTCCAAGGCCACAAACAGGAAGGCGACGTTGCCTCAAGGGTGCGGCTTCTTCAACAGGGTAACCTTCAATAACATCAAATTCAACCAGATATTCAGAAACCCAATTCAATTTAACAATCAATAAACCCAATCAATGAATTAAAAAAAAAAAGTAATAAATCCCATTTATGTGAAAATTTATTAATATAGAGGAATTCTTTAAATGTTTGTGCACCTGTAACGGTCTGGTAGCTGTGGACATAGGGGTTGGCGTAACCCGGCGGAGGAGCGGGCTGAGGCAAGCCAACTAACGGCTGAGGCGGTTGTAGAGTGAAAGGAGGATAGTAGTTGGCGACGCCTTGAAAAGTGCCGTATTGATATTGGCCTTGAGGGTAGGAGTTGGAGGTGGCGCCTCTATTTTTCCCTTCTTCGCCCATTTTCTTTTGTTTTTGGCCTTGTGGGTTTCAAGATGGTGGCGTTTCGCCTTTTGACTCCTCCGCCGCGGTGAAAATTGGAAGCAGAAGACAGAGTCGATGGCTAATTAGATAGGACGAAAACACCAGAAATCGTGGTTATTTTCGTTGGGAATGGGCGGTGCTCGGCGGATTAAAATTTAAGAGCTGGCAAGTATAATTTGTTTCTGGACCTAAACTCCTGGATTTGGGCTCTTGTTTTTTGGGTTTAATGTGATTGGGCCACGATTTTATTTTTCTCTATATTGGACTGGATTTTTTTTTTCTTTGAGATGGATATTATTATATATCTAGAAATGATGCATTGAAACTTAATAACTGATAAGGCAAAAGCTTTTAATACGAGGCATGCAGATCATTTCCTCTTCCCCTATTTCTCAGTGCATGCAAAAAGTTCATTGGCAACAATAATATTATCCTTCATCAGTCTACTCGAGACAAATGCGCTTTGATTCTCGCTGATGCAGAATGGTAAGACCCGTTTTAACTTATTGGTTCTGGTTATGGTTTTGGCCACAACCTTGTATAGCACATTATATAAGCTAACTAGTTTGTGAACCGTGTAATATATGAATTAATTTTATTTATTAATTAAAATATTTTTAAATTTATGAAATTATTAATTAAAATTTATTACTACAAACAAATTGAAAAGACTATATTAAAATATCTGTCAACAATTAAACATAAGTTTACAAAAAAATATTTATGTAACTAATAGATAAAAAATTATTTTGGATCCAAAAGAAATTTCTTTGGAATATAGTTGATTCTTACTTTTAAATCTATATGATTCCAAAACTAATAATTAATGCAAGATACCTATTCAAATTACAAAAATATATAAAAACCTACTTAAGTTTCAAAATAGTAAAAAATAATCTATAAATTCTTGAATTGAAAAATATTTATTGACTAAACAAAACTTAGTATTAGTAACTTCATGAAAAATAATATTTTGTGGCTTAATATTCATATGCATAATTCGTATTATCACTTTTTTACATGAAAAAAAATGTGTTAATAAAAAATTTAAAAAGATAAATATTTAAAATTTTAAATATAGTACCATAACAATAATTATTCTCTTTACTCTATTTTTGTTTCCCATTTTTTATTTAATAAAATATTATAATAAACATAACCTTGCATGTTAAAAACCAGTATCGAGAAATTTCATATGTCCAAAAAATAAGTAGTAGGATTAATGACTAACCAATTATTTGGCATTTAAGTAGGATCTTTGTATAAAGCAAGATTTTCACAAAGTTAAACTCAATACATAATACAAAAAATTTAACGAATGAAATACATATGCATTATCTATAAGTGACATAAAACCAATTTCTTTATTCAATGACTTTTTCTTGGCATAACAAAGAAAAAATACCTTAAAATTTTGTTTTAGTGATAAAAAAAGTAATTTAAACAATTAAAAAATGTAAAGCAAATAAAAAAAGAGTTAAAAATAAACAATAATGTTAGAAAATAAAATTAACTCAAAAAAGAATTAACATACCTTAACTTAATTGTAATATTGATCAAACCATTAAAAATTTAAGAAATTTGCATTAAAAAATTTTGAATAAAAATATATACTTGTAGGATTATTATATGTGAAAATACATACTTTATATTTAACTTGTAATCAATGTAAGTTTAATCACGGAAATATTAAAAGATTTTGAAAGTATAAAAGATATAATAAGTGATTTTAATTTGTTTGAATTTTTAAAAAAAAATCAAATATTAAAAGCTTACGAGGAAATCTATGAAGATATTGAAAATTTCAAGTTTAAAAGAGATATATTTATATTATTGGAAAATTTTATTTTAAAAGAAATATATCTAAATTATATTTAATTTGTTTTCTTTACATATAATTAATCCAAATATTTAAAGTAATATACATAAGAAAAAGTCAAAAAGTTAGTAAAACTATAACGATTTAATCGAAAAATATTTTATATTTAAAAGTTAACATTTGAATTTTGGATTTGATATGTATTGATGAGAAGAGTTAGTTGAGATTTTTATTATTTAAACTTAGTTAAAGTTTATATAAAATTGAAATATCGGATAAACTTAATTTTTAAAATTTTAAAATTATTTGGTAAATAATTAAAATTAAAGAATTATCTTATGTATAGATTGTAAATGTAAGTGATCATGCAAAAATGCTTATTTGATTGTATATTTAAAACTATCTTATATATTATTAAAATAGATTGTACGTATAAGATTACACATGAGCAAATCTTATAAGGTATTCATGTATATTGTAATATAATATTATATATGATTTATTTTTCATTTAAATCTTGATATACTTTAATCCATAAATATATTTAAATAATGATTTTATCCAAAGATAATATCTAATCAAATAAAATTTAATATTTTATACCTTTATCATCTAAAGATAAATATCTAATCAGATAATTACTTGATAACTTAGACTCAATAAATTTCATCAAAGTGATCAGCATGACTTATTAGAGTTTAAAAGTTATTTGACACAAGTTTTTTTTTTTATTGTTATTTAATTGTGCATTGTGATTTCATTTGCATAAATAAATGAAACAATTTTATTAAGTTTATTTTCTCATTTGTTTTTAAATCATACTAAAATATTCTTTTGGATAACAAGCAATTTTAAATAATTTTTTTTCAAACTATTAAATGATTTAAATGAATTAAGTCTTGATCGATCAATGATATATTGAAAGTGGCACTGGCTGCCATTAGCCACGCAAAGTGAAATCTATATCCTTCCCTAACATTGCTTTTCTAGGAGGGGAAAATTCTAGTAGGGTTTTTATTTTTTAAAATAATGGGTAATATTATTCAATAAAAAACTAATAAACAATTATTTTCTATTAAAAAAATGTGGACCACAATAGATTGATTCTTAATAAGTTTTGATCCTATTGAATCCAATTAAATATACGGCAAAGCCGAAGTGCATGTTATTAAGACTTAAAAGGAACTTAATCCACTTCCCTCTTGTTTCCATCTCTTTATTCTTTTTCTCTCACGTGGTTTGGCCAAACATAACATGTTATTTTACTCTATTTTTATTTTATTTGGTTTTCAATTCCAAATATAAATAGCTATATTTAATGTAAATATATATATATATATATTTACCATGCGAATATTTTATTTGCAATATATATGAATGAGAGGGCAGAAAAAAAAAGAAGATTATATTTTCCTTTTTTTTATACATTTTGATTAAATTAAAGAAAACTGGTAAAGGAAGATTCGTAATGAACCAACGTAGGGGAAATAATTTTGGGAAAAAAATAATAAAGTCTATATTTCTATATTTCATTTGATTGGCGTCAAGGAAAAAACAAAAGATAATTTTAATAGACAGAAATTGACAGGCAGCTGAAAATGTCATTCATTCAGCAAACAAATCATTGTAGTGTCAAAATGTTCCTTGGACAACTACTTCTTTCTGTCTTGTCGGAAAGTATAAGAAGGTGTCAAGAAGCCATGACCATAGTCGCCCACAAGGAAAAAAAACAAAGATAGATTAATGTTTGCTTGTTAGTGGAAGTATATTGTTTTGACAAAGCAAAAAGCCGCCTTCTTGATGAGGCATAAATGTCAGAGCAGTGAACGGTGATAGGGTTCCCCCCCATGCATGGTTTAGTTCATGTTTTAGTTTTCTTTGGAAGTTTTAACAATAAAAAAGTGTTTATTATTTATTTTTGTTTATTGGTTTCTTGTGTTTTCATGGCTTTAGGGCAACAACAACAAAGAACAAAACGATATCAGATGATGGGGAGCCATGGAAGCGTGGGAGCTGTCTCTTGTTCTGCTCAAACCAAACTGAGCACACGAGCTCCTCAGTTCTGGCTGGCTGAATGCTTCATTTTGCAGCTCTGCCTCGAGAATTTAAGTGGGCCAAAATTGTGGGAATTGATAATTAAAAAAAAACTGTTCAAGGACATCCGTTTAAATGAACTCAATTTCACTGATTAAGACTAAGGTCCCAGTTGAAATCAAATGTAAGTCCAATGAAAATATTTTTTGTATGAAAAATTATACCAAACACACCATGCATGTATTTGGTAAATAATATCAATGCAGTTGAAGTTGATTTTCAATGCATAAAAATAATTTTATAAATTTTTAATTATTTATTAACTTTATAAATATCAAATTTATTATAAAATTTATTATATATCAATTTTAATCTAATACCTATAATAATAATTTTTTTCTACATTTTTTAAATTTGTATTTAAATATATATCTCATTATCACTTTTAATCATACTCCTACAATATTTAATATTACCATTATAATAATTAATTTTACTATCATCACTGTTTTTAATATTATCATCTATCCAAATGAATTTTAAATAAAAAACTAATGAATCTTTTTTTTTTTCATTGAATTTTCTAATCAAAAGCGTTGTAACACTCACAATGATCGATTTCCAGGAAAATCCCACAGATAAACCCCAATTAATTTCATCTTCTTCATAAAAAAAATCATTACTCTTTTAATTTGTTTTAAAAGAAAAAGATTTCGCATAGTAATAAATCTTTTATATTCAACGATACTCCTTCAAAAATAATCATAGATATTCAAATATTTATCTATCCAATCATAGGACGAGTCATTACTCCTTCTATACGATACCAGCAACAACTTCGAATACAACGAAGTTAATTATCTTTGCTAAGAACACAACGCTAGCTAATTATCTTTACTAAGAATATGTTGATGTCTCCATCCACTTGTTAGGAAAAACTTCAAACCCACATTATTTTTATTTTGGAACAAAGACACATGCATTTCGTCACATGGAAATGACGCAATAGATGAAAGATTTTGCCAATGAATGATTTTTTTTAATGTTGCTATATGTTTAACCAAGCATGATAAGGAAACATTTACGAACTTGGAATTCCTAGACTACATTTTTTTTCCCAAAAAGGCTAATTTCCTTTTGAAAGGTAAAGATCACATATCTCAATGAGTTGAGTAAGCTGTCGATTTCCAACCACCCTGATACGATGATAAATTATTGTTATTAATATGGCTTTCTTTTCTTTATATGATTATCCTCGGTGGCTATAATTGTTAGTACATCCAATTATTAGGCTTTAAGTGAGTTCTTTTTGTGCATATCTACATGACTCATGTTATATATATATATATATATTAAAATTATTTAATATTAATGTTCATAAATTAATTGAATTGAATGTCAGATTTAATTATATACAAAGAAAATTTTAAAAAATTGAGAAAGCTAAAATTTAAATTTTAAATATATTAAATGTTATATTTTAAAATGATAATTTTAAAGATAATTGATTGATTGCATGAATCAATTTATCCACGGATTTACATGATACTGTCCAATGTTTATGAACACTCCAAAAATTTTTAAAAAAAATTGTTTGTTTGATACCCCAAAATTTTATTATGAACATTTAAAAAATTAAAAAATTCACAGACATCTTAAAAGTTTTTTCTGAACATAATATCTATAAATAGAATTAATAATTTTATAGATAATAATTTATATACATTATACTTGGACATTCAGATAAAAATCTTGAATCGTTTGCTGGCATTATATATTTGCATGAACAACTTAACTCACTCTGTTCACTTGATACTGAAACCCACAGAGTAGTAGAAGGCAAAGTCATTCCACGGAAAATTTAATATTATTCACAGAATCACAATGAGAAACAAAGGAAAATGTAATTAAAACTGAAATTACATTTTTTTATTTGATACCTAAACACCAATCCATTTTTCCCACCCAATCAATGTTTCCAACACAAATTTTTTTTCTTCAATTAAAAAATTTTATCCAAATAGTCCATCAATCACTATGAATGCACCCCACACAGATGAATTGACTGTTCCACCCCTGAAGAACGTGAACGTGAGAGACAACGACAACGACAACGACAAAGACAAACGACAACAATTCCCGGCACCGATGTCCCGGACACGGAAACAGAGAACAAAGAAGGGCCTTTTGGTCAATTAACAGAGAGAGCAGGATAGCGTGGGCAACGCCGAGAGAGGAAAACCTTGCACCCGTCTCTAGGACAGATGGTCGGGCAATACATGATTTCATCGCAGCCGTCGGTTCGGTGCCTCTTGAAATCGAGCAACGTGACGAACATGGCAATAAAAAGCACCAGATGATTCAAGGCGTACCTTTGGCCCACACACTGGTGGGGCCCAGCCCCAAAAGCCAGGTAGTTCCGTTTGCAAGTCAAGTCCTCTTGCTTCTCCTCCGAGAACCGTTCCGGTTCGAACCGGTCAGCATCCGTGAACCCTTGGAAGGATGACTCGTAAACCGATGGGAAAACAATCGACCCCTTGGGAATCGTGTACGACTCGGTCAACGGGAAATCCTCCATCGCAATGTGTGTGACTAACGTCGCCGGCGCACGATATCTCACCACCTCACGCGCGACCGCTTGCGTGTACTTCATTTCCTTCAGTTGCTCGGCGCTTATTAAAGCATCCGATTCCGGCGACCATATCCTCGAAACTTCCTCCCGAACTTTCCAGAGAACATCAGGATGTGAGTCGAGAAGGGACACCGCCCAAAGGAGCGATGACGTGGAGGCATCCTGAGCTGCGAAGAGGAAATCAAAGAGGTAAGTGCCAATTTCTTCGTCGGTAGAGTGAGGCGGCGCCGTTTTGGACTCTGCGATTTCTCTAATGTTTTCTTGCATCCAGAAATCGATTAAACAAGAAGGTTCGTCTCCTTCGGACGTTCTCTTTTTACTTTGAGCAACGCAATCAGTAAGGGTTTTGATCAACCGCTCAACCGCCAACCTGGCGTTTCGAAACGCGAAACCAGGTAGATCACATGGGAGCTTCATTAAACCCATGTTGAAAAGATTATAATCCTCTCTGAATTTCTGGCGAGCTTCAAGAGATAAATACCTGCCGACGAAGACGGTTTGAGAAGTTTCTAGATTCAATTCACGAACCAAAAGACGGAGAGAAATCGGCTCAGCCTGCGATTCCGAGGAAAGAAGCTCCCATGATTTTAAATGTTTGAGAATAATGATCTGCTGTAACGCGGTGTAAGTTGACAGCGCTCTGGGAGTGAAATTAGGAGCTATATGACGGCGGAGATCCTTGTGATCCTGTCCGAACATATAAATCAAGTTATGTTCGCCGAAGAGTTTTTTACCAAATGGATGTCCCACAAGTAAAAAAGCATCGGGTCGGACGTTGGCAAATATGAGGTGAGAAAGTTCAGTGTTTCGGACAAAGACGATGAACCGCCCGATAACATAATTAACAGAGAATCCGACAGAAGCTGCCAATTCAGCTTGAAGTTCCCAGAACCTTGTCGGTTTTCTGACTAATGTAATTGCGTTTCCCAAGAATGGAAGGACCATGTTTGGACCAGGGACATTTCGTTTTTTTCGTAAGTAGGAGATCTGTTCTACTAAAAGGATAAGAACTAAAAGGGTGACCAAAAATGGAGTTAAAAGAGAAAGAAATGATACAAAAGAGTTCATTGTAAAAGAAGATGTTAACGTTATGGGTTCGAGTGAATACTGGACGAAGGAATGGGGATTTAAATAGAGTCGGTGAAGGTGGTCGAAGCGAGAGGTTTACGTGTTAAAATTTCAATTGTTATTTTTTGGGTAAAGAAACGAATTAAAAGACAGATAAATTATTTAATTTTTAAATTAAAATAAAATGTAACATAATTTATAATTTAAAATAAATAATTATATTATATATTTAAAATAATTTCAACGTATCGATTGAACCAATCAATAGTTAATATTCAAATTTCAATCATTATTAATAATGAAGAGGAGATTCGGGTGACGGAAGCAGAATCCAACGAGCTTGATGTAAATGTGGCTTTAGATTGTAGGGAGAGAGCAGACAAGGGACAGACGAGGGAAAGAGGAGATAAATAAGGAGGAGGGAAGGAGGAAGAACGCTCCAGAGACGTGGCATATTCAGCATTTTTCGGTTCGAACAAAACAGGAGGAGTTTATTTTGGACAAACAAAAAAGTAGAAGGAAATTTTTATTTTATTTTATTTTATATTTTCAACCCTTTTTGTTTTTGCTTTTTTTCTGAAACGAGAAAAATAAAGTGGGCTTTTTCAAGTTTCTTTTGAATGTTGTAGCTTCTAGATTGTTTTTTCTTTTTAACTTCTGCCAAATGACATGGGAGATACCATATGGCAAGATTCTTATATAAGTTATAAAACACCACGGTCCAAAATACAATTAATAGTGTCTCATTTATTTTTATTTTTTCCTTTGGTTTTGGGAAATTTTGCTTGGTTCATTTGTTGGACTAAAATATTTTTTAAGGTTTATGAATCCATTATGCTATGCAAATAATTTGTGTTTCAAATACCAAAAAAAAAAAATATGGGTTCTACTTCCCCATGAAAAAACTCTTAAAATATTAATTAAAAAAATTTTCATGGTTCATTAATATTGGACCGCCAAAAGTAATCATTTGTAAACTGGGGTTTTGAAGAAGAAAATTGTTTGTTTTAGATTTAATATTTGTTGAGAAGTAATAAAATAAATCTCTCACATTTGACATAACGTACAGAAATCAGAAAAAACAACTGCATCAATGTCTGTTCCAGGCAAGAATTATTATGACGTCATGTCGATGATGATATTCTTTTGACCAAAAGAAAGTCCACATATTTTGCTTTTTCCTGCCATGGTTTGGAAGGTTCATCAACCACCGTTAAAACATCCAAGAAAGAATCGACTGTGGCAGCATTGAGCCAAGAAGTGATATCTACAAAAGGAATTAACACAACGTTGCTGATTCTAGCCATGTATGAGTATGATGAAGAAAATAAATGGAGTCAAAATGAGAAAAACATAAAAGGAAAATGCCAGCACATCTGCATGTATGTTCCATATTGGATTTAGAAAAGAAAATACTTATTGGAGGATGACCTCAGTAAACTTCTAGAACAGTAAACTCTAATTTATCCAAGGTAAATAAACGACTGTATGCAAAGGCTCATAGGCTCAAGTTACAAATTGCTCAAAAATGTATATCGAAATTGTTTGGGTACTTGAATGCCTATCACTTTCTCGTCGACATCTAAAATTGGTCAAAAATGTATATCAAAACTGTTTGGATACTACCCACCACTTTCTCATCCACGTTTTAAATTGATCAAAAATGTATATCAAAATTATTTGGATACTTGGATACTTACCACTTTCTCATCCACACATATTTATATTATATAAAATATTAATAACTCATATTTATATTATATTTTATATAAAAATTATATATTATAATTTTTATTAATATAAAAATATAAAATATATTTTTTGATTTTGTTAAATTTATTTATAATTTTTACTAAAATTTTAATATATTATTTTCATATTTTTTATTTGTGTCACCGTATCGTATTTAAAATTGAGAGATATCACATCTTCTAAAGCACAATGGTGTTAATGTTAAACGGGAAAAATCAAATAAAAGATTCAGAAAACGTGGTAAAAGAAACTTTTATGACAATAACTAATTGGGGCCAACACACAGAACACAACAGATGTTATGCCGACATAAGACCTACGTAACCAGCAAATAAAGCCAACACACAGGATACAACATATGCGCCAGCAACAATCATTGGTTCTTTGTGCCCGCATAATTCGAGATGATGATGGAAAGGTGCCATTCTAAATAAGCGGCGCCCACTTCCCCGCAAGTGCTTTGTTGTTTTGAAGTATAACACCTAACAAATATACAGAGTCAGTTATCATGATTGAGAAAACAACATTCAGTCTTAACGACACTTTTATCAACATGCATCTTAGATGTGATGCATCCTTAGTTCAACCAATGATATGTATCATATACAGACTTGGAAAGACGACCAGATAACAAATAATGACCCAACCACTGTAAGTTAATTTCTTATCTATGACTCGGAAACCAAAGGAAAATAAGAACATGAGCAACAAAAATGTTGGGAGGGTAGCCGAGGATGACTTGATGACACATAGTTGGAAGAAATACTCGTTCATTGATTAATATTAGAAGAGTGACTGAAATAAACATATTAGGACTCAAATTTTGACACATTTGAATTTGCTAGTTTTATGACAAAATTGGAGAAGAATCAGACATGTAACTAACGTGGCATACCTGCATCATAGCTGATAATGCTTCCAAAACAAAGAAACCAGATGAAATGAATAAGGGAAAGAACATTCCAGTACAAGCAGCCATTGAAGCTAATGCGCCACCAAGGGCCAAGGATCCAGTATTGCCCATGAATACAGATGCTTTGTACTGGTTGTGCAAAAGAAAACCAACACAGGCCCCCGCCATTGATGCTCCAAATATAGCAAGTTCTGATTGGGATTGAAAAATAACATTTAGTGTTGAAAAAGAATAACAGCAAATGACAGCCTGCTAATACTTGTAATAGCATAAACAAAGATTAATATTCACAATCAAACATTTAACATTATAATCATATTTTAGTGTTTCACTAGGATGGATCAGCCATTGCAACAATGAAAGAGGTGAAAAACTTAAAAAGAAATTCCAGGAGTGCGCTTTTAAGTACTGTCTCCCATATGTCATCCAGCCGATGTAACTGGAAAGTGTATCATATAAGTTTTCTTCTTCTCATAGGTGACCAAATCTGAATTTTGAGGAAAATGCATTCGATCGTTGTCTTCAAACACAAATAAGTTGGAAAATTTATGCAGACATAAAACTAAATAAGAATACAAGCAATGACAACAAATAGTTTCTTCAAATAACAGCATCTTCCCGCCAAAGATAAAGAACTTGAAAACAAACCACTGTTTCATGGTCCCAAATATTTTTGGCATTCTCTATAATTCAAATATAGCTGCTTTTCCCAATCAAATAAATCAATTATAAACTGTAAAGACATAAACAAATGTATGTGGGATCTCAAAAGCTATGTGGCATTCAGAGAATAGAGGAAATTCCCCACATTTATTCCAACTAATTATATTTCTTGTTCAAAAGAATCTATACTAACCAGGGCATATTGGAAGCACTGCAATTGACAATCCAATAAAAGCTAAGGCAGCAGTCCCTCCAGCCAGACCATCAAGATCATCTGTTAGGTTAACCCAATTTCCCATGGAAACAAAACAAAATGAAGTCAAGAATAGGTAAAATTTTCCCAAGAACACAAGGCCCAGTGGTGCAGGGAGAGGAACCAACATTTTCCTGCATTAAAACGTTGTAAAATGGTCTTGAGTAAAAACCAAAAACATCATTTGGGCAAAAAAGATAACAAAATGTAAAATCCTTATAAGAATGTCTAAAGCATGAATTGAAGCAACGGGAGAAGACATGTGAAAGACTAAATGCTGGTTGATTAATCAAGAATCATTCTTAAAGACCAAGAGGTTGATTGACAAGAAAGAGGGTTATCTGTAATTTTTAAAATTGTATTCCATCATAATATAAGAATTCAATAAAAAAAAAAAGGAGCTGACAACGCATATTGATATTCATACACGTAGGTGCTACAATTCCCCCAAACAGATGTTATAATGATAATTCATCTTAACTAGAAGGGTTATCTGAAATTTTAAAATTATGTTCTGGCGTACAATAAGAAAGAAAAAGATTTATTATCTAAGAAAAAAAATGGAACATATAACATGCTTTTCCATCAAAGAACTTCAATAAGATCAGTAGAAACTAAAATTTTCAAATGAAAAGTTAAGGATACTTGGTATTTTATCATTTTTTTGGGCACAAGAATAGATATGTTAGTTACCATCAGATAAATGTTGAACAGATTAGTTACAAGAAGATATACATGCCATAGGGTGACGTCAAAGTTGTAGCATCCAACCAAAAAGAAAACCAAATTCCGACAGCTGCCTGTAATGATAAACAGTTCAAGATTAGTCAATAATAACTGGGGTAAAAGCGAACTCATAAGGCTACAAGGATGAAGCATATATGATTAAAGAGAGAGGAAAGCAAGAAAGTAGCTACCTCCAAAAGTAGTCTAAAACACGGAGATAAGCCACTGTTGTGTTGCTTGATGAAACTTAAGACATCATCAAGTAGTCCAATTGCAGCAAATGCTAACGTTGCTGCAGCTGCAGCAGAAACTTCAATAGAAGAAAAACCAGTTAGGAATTTCGCAACAGATATACCAGCTGGTATAAAAAAAAGTCCACCCATTTTTGGGGTCTTCTTCTTTCGAGAATGTCTGGCAGGCCCTTCTTTCCTAAGTATTTGACGGAACTTAAGAGTTTTAAGCAACGGGACACAAATATAACCTGCACAGGAAGCTAAGATCAAAGACATGAAAAATGGGGAGGTCAAGTAGAATGGCGCCAAGGGTAGCCTGACAATTTTCCATCCACACCAATCCACAAGTAAAAGAACCATGGTCAGGAAGATTATAAGAGCCAAGTTGATTAACAGCCCATGGTATATCCTGCAATTAATGTAGGGAAATTATCAATAAAAGACTTGAAAAAGAATAATTAATTAATTTTCCTTTACCCAAATACAAAATATTTGAAGCTAAATTGCTAAAAGAGCTTGCCTGTGTCTTTTTTGGCCCCTTCCAATCGAAGCAAGCCGATGGGCAGTCACGGTTACGGCTTCGTCAGTTGAGACTTCGATAGGAGGCAAATCCACCTCACTCAAAGGACTTAACACGATCTCCCCATCGCTACCTTCCCCCTCACTTGATGAAGAAAACATATATGCTGCCACTGAATCGTCAACAACCCAGTCATCAAACGAAGATATTCCCACCGAATCCTAAAAGTTATAGCAAAAATCCAACAAAAAAAATACAAAAGTCATTTCAGAAACCATATTGCAAAAAGGAAAATTATTAAATTTAGAAAGCAAGACAATTTTATTACTCACATCATCGGTGGCGTTAACTCGAACGACGTCGTGTGGAAATCGTCGCCTTCGTTTTTGTACATTTTTCGATCGTTTTGACTGTAACTTGAGAGGAGAGTAGAAATTTGAAACAGCAGCACCGCGAAACTGAGGAGATGAGAGGAATGGGACGCGAGATAAAACGGGGACAGAGGTGAGTCGTTTTGGGGATCGAGAGAGTCCCGAAGAAGAGAAATGGTGTAGATTTGAAGACGAGAAACGAGATCGCATGACTATTCAGAACCCCCCCAAAAAAAGCAACAGCAAAAATAAAAATTAGATCAAAATTTCATTTGAGGAAGAGATCAGAGGCCATTCGAGATTTCCAAAGAATAACTGAAAACGGTGGATACAAGAATTATTTGCAATTAAAAAAAATCTTTGCAAAATCCTGAAATGTGGAGCCGTGGAGGGAGCTTATCTGGGCATCAGAAGAGACGCGCCCTTTGAAAGCGTGAATGGCACATATTCTTGTGGGCCGGGCTAGATTAAGATCCGATAATGACTGTTTTGATTCAAAAAAGAGACACAACCAAACCCATATATTATAGTTAAAAACAGTTTTGGAATTTAACGATTTAATACAAAGTTCTGTGTTTAAAATATTCGAAGAACAACTGATCTTTTAAATCAGTTGATATGAGATTGAAGGATTGAAATTAACAATTGATTTTAAAAAAATTTTATACGCATAATAATAGTTTCATCGATATAAATGATTTAAAAATAGATCCTTTAAAAAAAGTAATAGATTAGAAATTTAAAAAAATAGTCGAAGAAAATTTTGATAGTATTTGAATTATATATATTCAAATAAAAAAGGCATTAAATATAAAAGTAGCCATAAAATTTACAGACAATATTCTCCATTTACTTTCTTTTTACATATAAATTTTGTGACCATATGACATTTGCATAATTCCTAAAGCCCATTAAAACACAACCTTAAAATTGATATCTCAGCCACCATCTAACAAGGTGGAGATTCAGCTCTCAAAGTAATATGTCAATGTTCTATACCATTTTTTTTTTTTTGGGACTACCTGCATAATTTGTATAAAACATGATCCATATTTCATTATTATTTTCAAAAGATAAAGCTAACAGCTTCACTAAGTAAAGAATCCATTGGGTTTCAAACTTAGCCTTTGAAACCATATTGGAAACCTGATTCCAACTTCCACAATAATCAAACACAAAATATAAAAGCACACCAGACGCAGGCACAAGTCACTAACTCTGCTTAGAAAGGAGTGGTCGTCCTCGTCCCATTGTGAATCCCCTAGTTCCATCGGGCATTCTAGGGCCCGGAGGCGGCTTTGATGGTTCAACAACATGGGAAGAGGATGTACTACCATGCCCTGTATAACATAATATATTAAAATAAATTCTAGTCCAAAGAAGAAAGAAAATACAAAAAACCAGAACTGTGTTTATTCAAATACCAAGTCCACTGGTACCACGAGTTTTCTGTCTCCTTCCTCGTCCTCTGTTTCCACCTCGATGCCCGTTTTTCTCCTTGGACAAATGCCCCCCATCCTAAAACAATGAAGCAAAGAAATATTTAAAACGATAAACAACCTTTTCCTTCTGATCTGATATCAGTTGCTCCTCTTATTAGTACTCTTTTTTTTTTTTTTTTTTTTTCAAGTTTCATGAATGATCTATGATCTATAATCTGAGGGAAGAGTTCTGAATGCTTTGCCTAGTACTACCTCAGTCTGCAGATTGAAATATGAAAATTCCTTTATGCCAAATTCAAGAAAGAGGAAGAAGAAACAAAAGGTCTGACATCCATTTAATTTGATTGTTTTTATGCTCTTCAAGTTCACCACATATTACTTGCACTTGCAGAGAAAGCGTTGTCATTTGTTAGTAATAAATAAATAATAGGACGAAAGTTGTGTTAGTACAAGTTGTTAATGGTAAAATGCTCTCAGAATCATTATATCAGAGAATTCACATGAAAGCTTGTATACTTATGAACCAAAACCCAAATTATTTTAGGTTTTGTTAAATTTTACATTAAAAGTTGGATTTCCAATCTGATTTTGACATATTTATCAAAGAAACTTTAGCTTGAAGTGAGACTAAATCTTATCATCAAGTGGATACACTTGCACAAGCATGAAAAAGAACATAGAGCCTACCTCCTCATCTGGTATATCTTCATGATGCTCACTTGAGGTATTATTCTCCTCATCTCCTGTTTGATCAGATGCTCGAGCATTGCTGTTCTTTTCAGGATCGGATCCCCTCCAAGCTTGCCTTTGCTGCCCATACTTGCCCTATAATGGAAATAAAATCAATACCAGCTTTTTTCCTAAGATAAAAAAAATGAACTATTACCATTCGCTTAAGAAGCTTAACATGCATGCCATTTCTCCAGTCGTGTTCATCATTCAAAGTAGTCACCTGATTCAATAACCAGAGAAATGCTCCAGATCAATTAATCAAACAATTAAGCATGATATCAGTTAAAAAGACTGAAGACTTCCTTGACACTTACAGCTTTTTCAGCAGCCTCCACAGTCTCATACTCCACCAGTGCATGTAACTAGATCCAGAAACCAGGAAATTAAGCAGATCATAAACAAGGCTATATACATGCAAATACAACAATTTTACAACCGGTAAACAAGCAAGATTCAACTCGTCATCAAACAAACTTCAAAACCACATAAATTTGGAGCAACCCATATATTCTGACCAGAGTTCTCTAATTGTAGTCTGCACATCTTTTAACAGGTGTTGTTCAAGGGCAGCTACCCTAAACCTAAAAGTCTAGAAGTGTAAACCAGGAAAATAATCACTCAGCTTACACTTTTCCCAGTCAGCCAGTTATGACCAACCAAAACTCCTTTAAATTTGATTTTGACCACAAGCTACATATATCTTCATACTGCCCCCCTCCATGAAGACTTTTTAAACTAAAATTGAGAATTCTTTTTCTCTAATCCATTTCAGAAAGGCTCCTTAAAGGTATAAACACTGCTGTATGTTACAAAGCAAAGGGGTTTTCATACATAGTGACAATATTGGAAGATATCTGCCATAGATAGCTCTTATAAAGAAAGTCATGTTATGCTTACAATCTACACCAACTCAAAGACGGAAATTAAACATCATAAATTCTACAGATAAAACTTAATCAAGTCCCACAATAACAATGCATACTAGTATGCCAACTAATTTATAACAAACAATCTACAAATAACACAAAAATGCTTTTCATTTATTATTTACTTCACTGCTTTCTTTGATATCCAATTAAGCAGATCATCTCAATACTACAACTGGTTATGTTATTAGAACAAGGAATTGAGTACAGGAAAGAAAGGGAAAGGACTACAAAATGACTAATTACAAAACATCTATCTGCCAAATTAGAAATCAGTCTCATACCTTACTACTGATCAAGATATCTGCCCTACCACTTTTCTTTGACACTTCCACAGCATGTGGATCACGAACAGATATGTTCTTTACGCTGAAAATTCAAAAGAAATCTAAAATCATTTAAACGAAGGAAGCATAAAACGCATACACAACAGCAAGAAGAAAGAAAGAGCATGTTATCTTTTATTTAAGAAAAATACATACCGTCCAACTTTACCAAATATCCTCCTAACGTTCTCCACTGAATGATCCTCTGGAAGATTTTCTACCAAAACAGTGAATAACTAGGGTCCACAAATTAGATACCACAAAATTAAAGATACCAATATGAGAGTAAAGACATTAAGTTCCATTAAGAGATATACCTTTGAATCCCTAACCTCCATGAATGGAAGAGGATTGCGGCGCTTCACTTTCTTTCCATCAGAACTAACAACCTGAGAGGTTTCAATGAAACTAGATATTACATACCAGAGAGAAACAAAAATTTCTAAATACCTTTCATTATAGCATATGAAATCCCGATAACACTAGCAAGTCAGAGCCATATGGCAGTTACTCAATACAAAAAATGGCAATCTTTATAAGGAGTGAGCATCTAGGAACATACAAGTAGGGAAGACTCTCTGAGAGCAGCAACTATTGATGGATAATTTCTGCTGAGTTTTTTCATTTTCCTAAAAGAAGAAATTACCGAAATAGGAACTGCAAGGAAAAGGCAAAAACCCATATGCATGTCAATAACAAGATATCAAGGTAATAAGAATTAGATATTTCTATAAAAAGTGAAGGCCATTAACCCTCTAATAATAATCAAGTGAACATGGCTTCAAATAATAACAGTAGTCATACAACAAAGCTAGAAAATGTATTACTCAATCCTCCAACTTGCAAAATTTCAACTGATCACTTGAATTATCCATAAAACAAGCATTCATAAACAGAATAAATATGGACAGACAGAAAACGTTGAAAGTAGATGCAACTTTCCTTGACAATTTTAGATATTAACTTACAATAAAAATGGATCTTCATAAGCTACAAATGCAAGGTTTCACTTTCTAGGTAAAGTGACAGGGAGGAATGAGAAAATGAGAGAAATGTGAACATCCATTTTCCATGCTTGCTAGAAATTGGCGAATTAATTTTGTTTCTAAACTTAATTACCAGAATTAAATACAAAGGAGAAGAAAAAAAGGGGTATAAGCTCAAAATACTAGCTCTATTTGATCAATTTTGGCAACCATAATTTTTTGGAAGATGTCAAATTGGAGTTATAAGAATAGAGAATGAATCAGAAAGCAGTAAGTTGGCTATTCATTCAGTCAAAACACCCCTCAGAAGTTCAGCACAGCACAAATTGACTGCACCAGGAAAACATCGAGGCTGAGACTGGTCATAAGTACCTGCTGTACTTCGTCACCTTCATCATCTCTATTCAAGAGAATCTGTCTACATTTATTGCTTATAAAAAAGAAAGCTCCAGATAGGATTCTTTTTTGTTAAAAAGAAAGCCATAGAGAAATTTCTTATACAGGTTAGCTTTAATTTTTAGATTTAGTAATCAATTTGCAAGATCTCGGATTAGACAAAAATAACAAAAAGAGCACACATTGCAAGCTTAAAAACTTTATAGCTTTTTTATGAAAAGACAGCAATAATATCAACAATCTCTTCTGCATATGTCATATAATAAGGAAAAAGGTCTCATACATCCATGCCTGTGATAGATTCCAACCTAACTAATTCACAGGTTTGTTATTACACCATGCAACTTATTCCACCCACATGAATACTCCCCTCATTGGTTCAGCTTTCTTCTATGGAAATTTCGAAAGTGCAGATATACTAGAATTCCACACAAATAAATGGAAGAGAAAACATGAGAGAAAAATATAAAGAAAAGAGAAGACACTGCCCCTTTTTGTCATTTAAAGTAACAAATAATGTTAAGATATTTGGCCGCAATCACATATACAGGAATTCAATGATTAACTAACTACCCTTTCATTGCTTGAGGAAAACTCGAAAGATAAGGTTCTCATGGTTTCACTCTAAACCACAGACATGATTAATCTTAAATAATTCGTGGATCTGATATACCTATGTGTAGTTGTTATTTCTCAAATTCATCCTCTGAAACTAACTTTCGCATATCATCTATGTTCATCCATAAGTTACTTAACAAACCAACTCCAAGTCCACTTTCTTAAATCTTCTATCCAGTGAAATCAATTAAAAATTGAAGTCAACATGATATTGTGGAATCTGCTTCAACCCTTTTTATCATATTGGCCCAAGAATTTCATCTTCTTGGTGGTTGTAGAGGTAACTGCTCGTTTCCACACATCAAAACTAATCAAGGTTACAAGTCAAAACATGATACTTAACTTTTATATACTCAAAATACATTTTTTAGATATAGTCAAACGTGAATTCAGCTCAACCCATTGTACAGATGGTATAAGCATGCTACATTCTTAATGCTAAAACTTAAAAGAAAAGAAACAAAACTCAAGCCAAACGAGAGTTTTAATTACTTACCAAAACCTTCTTTATTCTTCTTAACCAGACTCGTCATAAACTTATCCGTCGGCAAATTTTCATCGCTAAAATAATATTCCACCTACAAAAACTCAAACAGAAACATAAATATATAAGCGAAGATCAACAAAGTTCATCCAAAAGAAAATAAGAAAAAAAAAAGAAAAAAATATAATAAAAGAGGCAGAACATATTCTAGGGTTTAAATTTCAACATGGCAAGAGAAAGATTTTGTGCCCTTGCCTGCTTAATGATCTTGTTTTTCAGATCATCAGTAAGTACACCAGTCGCCGACGAGTCCTCGTGACTCTGATTCTGATCCTGATCCTGATCCTGATCCTGATCATGACCATGCTCGTAGTCATTGTCGTGACCTTGATCCTGGTTGTGATCCTCTTCGGACGGTGGAGATGGAATCTCCTCTTCTGGGGATCCGACGGAAACGAAATCAAGAGGATCATGCGGCGGGGAGTGCGGGGTAGGGCCAGCGGTGGCGGTAATGGGCTCCACGTGGCTATCCATCTTGGAAGAGAGGAGAGAGGGGAAAGGAAAAAGTTTTGATTAAACGGACAAAAAATCAAAACCCTCCCGCCCTTTTTTTTTTTCTTTCTCCTGCTCTCTGGTTTCTTCTGACCGGGACTCTTTATAGTGAATCGGGAAATTTCCATTGGAGCCAAGTCAAGGGTGTTTTGGTCAAACCGGTTTATGATATAAATTATGCATGTTCATACAGAGAAAGACTTAAATTAAATTTTTATCTTAAATTCGTAAAATTTTTAAGTAAAAAAAATTAAAGAAAAATTAAAATAAAAAATTAAAATTAATAGATTGAAAACTCGATACATAGATTAAATTTATAAATTTTAAAAAAAATATTATTAAAAACTTTAATATATTTTTTTAAATATATATATTTAAGTAAAAATATTAATAAAATTTTTATCGTTAAATAAGTATTAATCAAATTTGAATTATAAATAATATTTTTAATAATTTTTGTATATTATTAATATTTATATTAAATTTTATCAATTTATCAATTTAAATTTTTATTAAAATTTTATTAAATTATTTTTAAAAATTTACAAATTTCACTTAAAAAATTTTATATAAATTTTCTCTCATTCGGATATACTACCAGCTATGATTTTCTCCTTCATTTTTCTTTTTATAATTTTTTTCCTTTACTAAAATGGGAAAATATTGCTATTGGTCTCTCAGTCTTGTATTTCAAAGATTTTCTTAACCAAAAAAAAAAAAAGAATTCTATTTTTATAAAAAAAATAAAAAAAAAGGCCATCTCAATTAAAGATTACGACATATTGTCAATCTCAAAGAAAACTTATATTCAATTTATATATGGTGAAGCAAAACAAAAAATGACTGCTGATGCACTCTTTGCACATGATATGATCATTTCTTACAATAATCAGTTTCTTGACGAACTTAATCCTTTTGCCATAAAACATAAAATGGCAAATTTTCCAACCATATAGAACTAAAATATAGAAGATTTAAATAATTAAACATAAGATTTTTACGATCTCAAAATTTTTAATGCGTCACAATCTAATCATCCATGAAAACACAGGGTGAATCAATTGACAAAAACTCGTATGGCATAAGGATCGGATTCTAGGAAATCTTTGGGTGAACTTTGCTTTAATACCAAGAATATCTGAATATCCAACTGAAGCCATTCTCATTTCTTAAAGCAAAACTCAGAAAGAAGATAAACATACATACTTTTGCCTTCGCAAGCAATTACCAAGCCTTAAATTAAAACCTTGCATATATATAGATATAGAATCCAAACTTTAGCCGTTATCTCAGTTACCCAACTCTAAACCAAAACCAGAAGGTAAGCCCAGAGAGCAATTCCAAGCCCTAATAATACTTGGAGCTCATTTCTACTGCACCCTGAAAACCACACCTGAACATTGTCCACTACCGGACCACATAGTGAGCTCATGTCATCGGTTCTTGTATTGTAATAAATACTGTAGAACGCGATACGTGTTCTCTCGGCCTTGGATGTGAAGTTGACACTAGCTACATGGAAGGTGGAGTTAGAGTCGGGACTGTAGTGAAAATTTTGTGCCTGATCTCCTGCAAAGGCCATAACTGCTAGTGGTTCCTTGCATTTGTCCCTAGCATGGCCCAAAGAAAAGGTCAAGCTGTATAGCTTGTCTGGTGTGGTTTCGACCATTTGAGAAATGATGCCTTCCTTGCCTGAGACTAACTCAATAGCACGTTTGCCTTCTGGGACTGCATAATGGTTGGAGTCAATGTATCGAACCGCCCTGTTTGATTCGACCATCCATCCTGGTAATGGGGATGTCTCTTCATCAAGGTTGGTAGGGAGCAGGACACCAAGAGATACGTTTTGGAACATCCAAGGTCCAAACTCAAAGCCACTATTAACTACCGCATTTTCTGAAGAAAACATAGCAGCAAAGACAACCCGATCAACAAAAGGAGAAAAAAAAAAAATCCAATACGAAAAGCAAGTATCCTGTCAGTCTCAGAGCTCCCTATGGACAGTTTCCATAGAAGACGGGACCATTCATCATGGTTCTTCCGAGAATTTGTAGCTTTTTACCTTTGGGCTTATCAGGAGTGACAAGTTTCTTGATGGCAATATCATCTATGATGGGCCCACATTCGGGGTCATCTTCCATGCCCGGGTTCCTAAAAATCAACCGCACTTTATCCTCCTCCGCCTCAAAAGAAACCGAGTAAGGGTCCCACCCTTGCACGTTGTACAACGTCTGGAGGTCTACCGTCTGTGATGCAGGTGGCACAGACACGTTCAATGACTCCATCTGCGCGCACGTGCGGGCCGCACTGAAAGTGACTGCGTACGTGGAACCTTTCTCTACCGTCAGTTCTTGGCTGATCTCCGCGTTGTTTCCCAATCTAACAGCGTGCATGCCTCGAGGCACGATGAGGAGCATCCCACCACCCACTTTTTCCCCAGACGAAACCAGCTCCACTGTGCCGTTCGTTCTCCAACTGGGGATCTCGGTGGGCTGATCAGATATTGCGCCTCTTGGGAAGCCATTCGATGGTAGTGTCTCGAAATCACCATTTGCCACTAGGCCTAAAAGATCAAATAGAATTGTCGCACAATACTTTTACCATGCAATTGGGAAAATCAAATCTAATTGGAGCAAAGAAAAAATCAGTGTAACAAAAATTTCCTCAAACATTAAGTATATTCTTTTCCATAGCATATTGCTTAAAGACGAAAGATTTTTGCTCCCACAAATTATTACCAAGGCAATAGAGCTTATCCGTACATACGCGCATTCGGTTGACGACAAACAAATTTGAGGAAATAAGTACAGCACATGTGCAGTTCTATTTCATTGTCGAGAAAATTTTGTTGACGTTAGCCCATTAAACTACCAGACAGAAATATTGCCACATCAACTCACAGTTGCGTTACCAAATTTAAGGATCGGGAGAGAAATATGTTGCCAAAAAATTTTTTATTTTGTTTTTGGTTAAGAAGAAGTGTGTTGCTTATGACTGTGAATGTTAATCCTTATGACAAAATCACAGAACTGAGCTGGAAATTTGGGATGATGTACTAAAAGACAGTGATTTGCCGAAAGAATCCTTGTCGTTTGTTAAGGTAAAAAGGAGGAGATATTTGGCGGGAATATGTCACTTTTTGGTCATTTCACTCACCATAGAATAAGGGGAAAAGGAAACATGAAGGACCCATTTATGAAAATCCTTATTCTATTCAATTCTATATCCACCTACACCTTTACCTTTTGACATTGCCAAATTTCCTTTTCCTTTGTTTTCCTTTCATGTCATTATCAATGTTTTTCATTTTCTTGTTTGCCAACGTTTCTCACTTCAAAGATTGCTCCTTGAACAGTTGCAACTACGAAAACTCCCGCTTGGAAAACAGGGTACCAACAACCAAGCCAACGAGCTATGGCTTGAAGTTAGATAGCAGTAACTATTTTGGCACCTATATATAGGTTAAATACTATTGCTTTCGGCCAAATGACTACCTATGGCTTGTGCAAAATGCTAGAAACCCACAAGGGCGACTGATAATATAGGCGACATTGATTGGGAAACGAATTCACCTAATTCATCGAATTATTATGGTGAAGGTTTTCAATTTTAAGCTCCCTCACTTGTAAAGAATTAATAGAATCTGCTAAGGAAACTATACAAACTAATTGATGGGTAAAGAACTAGTAATTAGTAAGCATTTAGAGGAATAACAAGCTTGCATATTTAAACTGTGAGAAAGGATTTCCAATAAACACTCAATCTTGGTGGGACAGACAATCCAAGGGTCGAAGACTATATTCAAAGCCTAGTTCAAATTATGAACAGTCGCCAGCTTCACGATCAAACACTTGGAATGTAGAAAAGAAAAAAGAACCAAAAGATCTAAGGTCCTTAGGACACAGTCAAGGCCCAAGTTTAGACTTTCAAATAATAATCAAACCATCTTGAGTTGTACAAAATCTGTATTCTGGCTCTGTTGAAGCATAACTAAAGCTCACACTTTACTGAAAGTACATAGAGACAATTTCCAGTAAAATGGCGGTGATCTAATGGCTTTATCAAAAAAATAAAGGAAGTAATCGAGTTTATTATAGCTGGAAAGGGAAGAAAAAGAAATGAGAATCTTTGATGGAAATCATGAGGGCATTTGAAGGAAACTAAATGGAATGGAATGTGTCCAGCTATTGTTTGAAGGAATCAAGGAATGACAAAGAATGGAAGAACTCAACCTCTTAACAAAAATCAACTGACATCCCAATTCAACTTTTCAAGTTTCAAAAACATAAAAGCAAATAAACAAACCAAAATCTCCAACATATAACAACAGATTTACCATGTACCTGTAGTTAATGTAATTAACAGATCTGGAACATAACGAAAACCCACGAAGCATAATCCAAATGCAAAGTAAGAGCTCGAAAGGATATAAAAAAAAAGAAAAGAGAAATGAAATTATATGTAAGTGGAACATAGAAAATAATGTATGCAGATGGAGAATGGAGAAAGGGATATAGTATATACCATCTTCAGCTAGTGTTATAGTGGAGAAATGAGCAAAGATAAGCATAAAAAGGAAGACCCATTTGCTTCTTGCGAAGCTCTCAGCCATCATCTTCGCCAAGTATCCTCCTTTCTCTTTCTCTCTCTCTCCTTTGGTAAAGGCTTTCAGCCAGTTGCTTCTTTTTTGCGTACTCTGTTTTGATGAGGGAAAGGAGACAAGCCAGGCAGTGTCTTTTTATCCAAAGCTTCAAGTACTACATCGTCTTTTACACCTTAGCTTTTCGAGTTAATCACTATGGGCACGATTAAATTGATAGAGAGCGGATTTTTCCATTTTTTTATTTGAAGAATAAAGGAAAATGGTCCACCTTGTGTTCCCACCATTATATTTTTGTTGGCTTCCGGCTTATTTTTTTTTTTTTTTGTAATTAATAATTAATAATAGGCTCTAATTCCGTGTATTGAGAACCGTGGACTTTCGGCTGACCCAGTCCACCGCCGAACGAACATAATTTGACAGTGGTCAATCCAATCGCCATTTCTTTTATTTTCTTGATTTTTTTTTCCTCTTCACAACACGTGTTGGAATAAAACTGGCTCAAGTTGGGTCAAACCACGAACTCGACACTGAAAGCCTGATCCGTGAACATGTCTTGTATCTTGAATTGATATTAAATACACAAAAGGCCCAAATCACCTCAGCATTTAATCCAAGGTTCGGCCCAAATATTAAAAACAACCAGGCCCTTTTTATTACAATTAGGAGCGAGAAATTTTTTTTTAAAAAAATTAAAAATTAATTTTAAATTATAATATTCGATTTAGATCTGATAGATTTTTTTATTTTGTTTGGATCAAAATTGAATATTAAGTGTATATATTAAGTTTGAATTAAATTTCAGATTAAGATATAAAAAATCATAAAAAATCAAATCGAATCAAATTATATATTTTTATTAGCTTTTATATATATTTTAATTTTTTTTAAATAAAAAAATTATTTTATATATAAATCTATTTAAATAATTAAAATCTTATTAAAATAATATATAAAAATTTAAAATTTAAAATTTCATAAATAAAATTCAATTAAAATCGAATTAATTTAAAAAATTAATTCAAATTTAAATCGAATTATAAAAATTTATAATATTATATATTATTTTAAAAAATCTAAATTAAATCTAATTTGATATCAACTATTATCATTTTTAACCACGACAAGTGCCTAAATAAATTTGACCCAAGATGAGTAAAACTCGACAGATAGCCTGATTCGTGAACATGTCTTGTATCTTGAATTCGTATTAAATTTACAAAAGGCCCAAATCACCTCAGCCTTTAATCCAAGGTTCGGCCCAAATTTTAAAAGCAAACAGCCCTTTTAAAATATTTAGCCTAGCTTCTCCCGATCAAGGTTCAAGAATAGCTAGCTAGAGCCTGTAAGAACAAAGCCGCAGCAAAGAAACAATGAGTTCCTCCTCCTCCACAGCTCTTCGAGAACTACAGCGCGACCTCGAAAACAAAGCTAACGATCTCAGCAAGCTCCAAAAAGGTAAGCCAAACGAAACCCATGCCAGCCTCTTATTATTCACTATTTGCATTAAAAAATATTCGATTGAGGAACCCTAAACTTTTCTGTATGTATTTCTTAATGGTCCCACCAGATATAGCTAAGAACCACCAAGTGAGGAAGAAGTACACTATTCAATTAGGAGAGAACGAGCTAGTCCTCAAGGTGTCGATGGGTTTTCGTTTTTTTGAAGATCTAATTGATTGATTAATTAATTTGCCTTAAAATGACTTTACGATGATTATTTCTTTTTTTTTTTTAAATTGATATTAGGAGTTGGATTTATTAAATGAGGATGCAAATGTGTACAAGTTGATCGGTCCAGTGCTTGTGAAACAAGATTTAGCGGAGGCCAATGCCAATGTTCGCAAGAGAATTGAGTACATCTCTGCTGAATTGTACGCTTTCTTTTACATTTTCTTTTTTTTTTTTATTTTAAAATGATTATGGATAGTTTACTCTTTTTCATTAATCCTATTACTTTTTCTGGGACATTTTAACGCTATGTTTGGCGTTATGAGTTTTGAATGTAAAGAATGGTTTCCAAATGTGGTTTTGGACACCAGAATAAGCCAACTCGAATGCGAAACTAAGCTAAGTTGGATTTTATTATCCTACTCCTTGGTTTCTTGAGTAAATATCTTGTGTCATGTGGAAAACTTCCCATAATAATGACGTTAGTAAGGCCATCAAAATTAAAGGTCAATTTCTTATTTAGTTCAAAGAAGTAGAGGGTGCTTTTTGCCCCAACTTTGCAGACTTGTCATCAAATGTACTTCCTCTGTTACTCGTTTCTTACATGCTTAGGCAATAATCTTGTATCTGCTGTTTTTGATTCTGCATGTATGCATCATGTGGCATTGTAATGATCATTCCATTTTGTTGAAGTTTGTTGTTGCATGTGTATGAACTTTGAAACTTTGTTTCTCTGTCAACAGGAAGCGACTTGATGCATCTCTTCAAGATTTGGAAGAGAAACAAAACAGCAAGAGAGAAGCGGTTGGTGTTCTTCCTTTTAATGTGCCTTAATTGTGCTCTTTTGATGCTATATAAGTTGTCTCTATATGACTTTAAACAACAGTAGTGCAGCATGTTTTTGGAAATGCAAATTAATGCTATTTTGCCTTGTTAAACAATTGGATAGCTGTTAGATAGTCATTCAGAAGCATGACTATTTGTGACACATGAAGGATTTAAGACTAAAATTAATTGTTAGTATGGTGCAAAGCATTAGACAAGGGTTGACTGCTCCTGCTGCAATGGTAGCTAATGGTCAGTAAACAAAAGTTAAGCTGGGTTGCAAGCTTAGAAGCTTACTTTGTTTGATTTTGGATTCTGGTTATAATGGTTTTTTGGATCTTAATGAGTACCTGAAATAAGAAACAACTTGATTGGGATGCTAACTTATTCATACTTTATTATCTATTTTTTTATCCTTAACTTGTGCTGTTTATTTTGTTGGTCTTACCTGCTTAAGGTGCTGTTTCCTTTTTCTAGAGGTGAACTTGTCAATTAGGGAGCTGAGTCCCGATTAAATAGCTGTGATTCGTTTAAATTGTTCTTCTTTTAAGCATCTCGGCTGTTTACAAGTTTGTTGGTTTGCCTTTTGCATCACTTAGTTATACTTAGTTGTTAATATTTAGATTACATTCGGGCTTTTTTTAATCCCATGATCATTTACAAACTGCTTTTACATGGAGGCATCTTAATGTTTGGCTTTTTTGGAAGTTGCCATCCGATAAACTGGAATAACAACCATCAATATAAACTTCAGTCAAAGATATGAAATCTAGTCATGATGAAGTATTGATTATGTGAAACCATTGGAAGATGTTTTATGTCGTCTCAGGTTTAACTCTAGAACCCAGGCACCTCAGTTTGGATAATATAAATGTCATAAGATTTATCAGCCATATTTGTGTCGTACTCTTTTCTTTACCTCCTCTCATGCAACATTACAAATTTATATTTTGCAAAATGTTACAGCACATTTTATTCTTCCTAAGCATAATAACGCTATCGAGTGAATGCAACAATTGAATTTTATTGGTTTTGTATTTGCTAGATATTAAAGGTGCAGCAGAGGATTCAATCTCATCAAGCTGGAAAAGCCAAGGCATGACTCATCTTCACATGTTTGCATGACCAGTTGACCTCTATCATTCTAGTGGGATATTATTTAGTGCTGTGTACGTCTCCGTTGGAGCTTTGCTCCAGTTTTCTTGAACCTTGATTGTAAAAGCTACAATATGTGTGTAGCCTCTTAACCATGATCACAAATCGTCACGACAGTATGTTAAGTTATTCAAAAGCCTGTTCTTTTGTTCTGCCCGCTTCAGTGAGACTTACAGGAAAACCAATTATGAATAGTCACTTGAATATGTAGCTTGATGGCTTTTGAAGCTTTATGATTAAGATCCTTGCATATAAAAATGGTTTGATTTTGCTTATTTATATGGTAATCATTCTTTTTCTATTAGTAAAACTAAATGCTCCCTTCGACTTTTCTGTTACCAAATGTTGATTGTTTATAGTACTACTGAATTAAAAATCCGGCAGGAACTGGTGGGCCTCATCAAGTAGCAGAGCCCATCTTCATACAAAAAGAACCAAGCCTTATTAGCTTGAAAGCCTGGGATATCCGTTCTGTTCAGTTACCTTTGGTAAATTTCAAACAATAGGATGCTTAAGTATATGCACATAATTCCCACCGGCCAATCTGCGCAAAAGTCATTTTCATGATGTGATATGGCTATCTGCAGCATATATCGAGCTGATGATGGTCGAGGGACATATAGCTATTTAAATGCATGCCTACGCCTATCCAGGACAAACAAATCAAGGAGATCTAATGAAATGAAAGCTAACAAACACACTGTCAGTCGGGCATATTTGTGGCCGTCTTACATTTGTTTAATCAAGTTTATTGAGACATCCTGAAATATTATTATTCATTCACTTCATCGCAACATAAACAACATTGGCCAAACATTGATTCCAGCCCCATCTTGCCTATATTTGTACCAAGTTTAACCTTTGAATATGATCTTTGCCTAGGAATCTTGGACATTAACTTACTATTGCTGGGGATACCAACCACTTATAAGAGATCCTGGATATTTTATAAAAACAATTTCCCCTGCTACAAGGCAATTGATGTACATCGATCACCAATCACCAATATATATATTTTTTGTCCAGACAAAATTTTAAGTGAATTGTCCTGCCACTCAAGCTAATAAAGGTACAGCATCATGTGCAATTCATCAATTCATTGCAGAAAAATCTAAATATAATTAGGCTTAAAGTAATTTCATGATGTTCTAATTATCAACTCATAACATTTCATGAATCAAAAACTTAATGGTAGTCACACTGTTTCTTTCAAAACGAAAACTCGAGATCAAAATCATGACACAGAAGAAAAAGAAAAAACAAGTAATGCTTCATTTCAATTTCCATCCAATAGAAGAACTTTGAAAGGTACAGGAAATCCGCAAAACAATTTCCACGTGGTAGGTTTTCTCACCATTTAATCTTTTTATTGGATTGATGCGATAAATGCTGCTGCTATACGGCTTCACACCATTTTTTTTTTTATCTTTCACGAAATGCTGGTGGATGGATATCAGTATATGCTTTGACAAGACTACGCATAAATTTGTTTTTGCCAGTTTCAAGAACACGGCAGCACCCACTACCACTGACCTCAGCATTTGCAGATGGGAGAAAATGGATTCTTTAAGGAATCGGTGAAGAAAGAGACAAGCTTAATGGTTCAATGAAAAATCATCATGTTCTTGATAAAAAAAATGGGATAAGGGTGCTAGGTTGAATTAGCTAGAAGGAGCACTAAGAAAGGTGCTGGTGTTCTCTCAACTACTAAGACAGAAATAATGGTGAAGGAGTCCAAGTCCACATTTCTTGTTTTGCATTTGGGATTTGAAAAACAAAACAAAAAAAAAGTACTTCAAATATATATATATATATATATATATATTGTGCTTGTGCATTCATGATCGTTCTTCCATTCAAAATTTAGTAGGACTGACATGATATATTTATACATGGCCAGTACTCTGGACATTTTCAGATGATAATAGGATAATGCTCTTGCCACAAATTGTTAGATAAGATGAGGGTTAAATCCAAGGCTAGATGGAATGCTGGATCTTTTCCATCAAGTTGGATACACGGCTTACCAGAAGGATGTTGTCTTTGTCTTATAATTGGATGACAGAAAGATCTTTCGAATAAAATGACATAAACACCTGAAAAATGGCAAATTATTATTACAAGCATTCTCTGCATTATCTCGATCATTTTCTATGTTCAAAAATGCATGAGATCTCTGTTTCTTTCCTCTCTCAATCTGTATTAAGCGCCACCTCTGAAATGTTTATTTTCATCATGCACTATTATATATATATATTTATTTATATATATTCCAACAACAAACCCCATGGGAAATCTTCGTTTGCCCTCACTTCACACTCGTCGGAAATGGCTCCACCACTAATTCAATACCACGCGGATATACGTACATAGGTGTCAGATTATCATTCGCCATTAAAAGTTGGCATCGACCTTGGGTTTTTTGTTTTTAAATAAACAACCTAATGTGGAGCACATGTTTGGTGATGGATTATTATAAAAGTTTAAATTCATAAAATAAGATTCAATTTTATATACAAATGGTAATATATCTCCTCACATGCAAATTATTATATATATAGTACTTTAATGATTAATAATGCATCTTCCAATTTGATTAGTTAATGAAAATTTAAAGGGGATGCTTTCTAAGATTTAAATGCAAAACTTCTATTTTTTTTAAAAATATCTTAATTTAAGAGTAAAAAAAGGACCAAAATTAAAAAAAAAATTTTATTAAAAAAATTATAAATGTTGAATTTAAATAGTAAATTATTGAATATCATAAAAACAGAAAATGGATAGTTGAGTCGCAAATAAGGATATCTTAATACTTAAATTGATAGAAAAGAGATGCATCTTAATTTGCATATTTAAAATCGAATACGATTAATCAACTTCATTCATTTATTATTCTAGGAACTGGAATTGATCTGAAAAGGAAAAAAACTTAGAATAAATCTTTTATTTTTCCTAAGTATAGGGTAATGGCTATATATATAGAAAGTGAGTTCCACGTGAACCAAAGCATTCTGAATGCCTCTTAATTTGTAGTGGGGGCATTTACAAGTCAAGTTAACGTACAAGCAAATTTCTCTCTCTCTCTCTCTCTCTCTCTCATCACACTCAAGAAAGTCAATTAAAGACAGAAAAGGTGTTCTTATCATGGCACATCAAACAGTGAAACAGGCAAGGCTGTTTGAGTGGTTTCAACGTCTGGTCGGTTTACTAGTGTTAATAAATGGAGCAGTTTAATAAAGAAGCAAAGTAGAGTTCCCTGGCACAAGCCAATTTGGTTGGGTGCCTAAATTCTCATTTGTCACTTGGCTAGCCATATTAGACAGATTAAGCACTTTAACAAGATTGAAGGGTTGGGGCCTGAATTGTAAAATCTATTGCCTGTTTCTTATACGTAAGATTAACATCATGAATGACGATTCTTAAAAAAAGACGTGTCAAAACCTACCTTTGGTTATCACTTTCGTGAGCTTATACATAAAAGATTTTCCAATCTAATGTAGATATGCACAATTATAGTTAACGACAGTTCTTTCTATAACATATAGTATTTAGCATCTGACGTTACAAAAATATTCTGATCAATCATGGGAATTAAATTCTAACTAACTTAGGGCCATAAGAACTGATAATAAAGACTCACCGTAAGTTCTGCCACACTCCATGCACTAGTTGGTACGTGAAAAGCAATGATTGTTGCTGCTGAAATTATTGTGTATAGTAATTTATATTATATTCTTGCTACAGTATCCAATTTTGGAGAATGATTAGCCTGAATAACTGGACCAGCATCTTGCAATATTGAGTTTGGCGCTTTCATTGAGAAAACGACTGCTCAGCTTTCTTGAATCCTCAAGCGAAAGATCCGATCAGGATACGAGAGGTTCACTCTCTTGTCTTATATATCTAGGTTTTGGCATAGAATTTTGTTTAACCATAAGAAAATATATGAAAGAGAGAAAAAGAGAGACAATTCATGCATATTCTTGTATGAATGTAATCCCTAAAATGATGATTCTCTCTTCTGTTCTTTTCTTTTTTTTTTCATTTCATTAGTAAAAAGCATATGGTTTCTTAATTAAAGTAAAAAAGGCGACACTTTTGTTTCTCCTACTATATATTTGTCATCTCAATATTAATCCCAAAATGCCATTTCTCATACCAAGTGTACATGCATGAATGACAAACGGGTAGTCGAAAAGCTTGTAAAAAGCCAATAATTTAGGCCGCAGGGTGGACGTGGCATGATCTGATAGGGTATGGGACAGTTAATGTGAGCTAATATACAAGAAATCCAAGGCTATGTTTGCTGCCTGAGTAGAAAGGAAAGATGAAAGCGGCAACCACTAAAGAGAGTGTGGACCATGTAAAATGTTTCTCATCAGTCATCACATGAGAAGACTGACAAAAGCAAGACTAAAATTAGACACATGCAGCTAAGCCAGCCAGACTATGCTCTTTGCAATATTGCCAATTGCCAATTGCCAATGCCACCACATTGGAGCAGAATCATTAGCCTTTGCTTCAGGGCAATGGCGAGATTGGCTTTGGGCTGAATTTGATTGGTCCCCTTCATGTGTTCTTCAGTGAGTTAATGGTCTTTGCTGGCCAATCACTTAACTTACCATTGGATTATCTTTGGTATCTTCTCTTCCCTCTTAATTGTTTTGAAGAAACATGAAAGGATTCGGATCAGGTGATGGGTTAACCTTGAGATAAGAGAACCCATATTTGGTTTTTTATTTTGTTGATCTTATAAAGCTTGACGCTTGCCTGCAATCTGTAGCCATGTGCACGAATTTTCATGATGATGATGATGATGAGTAGCTAGAATATATCATAAAGGATAAAAGGATCATGTTTTTTTTTTTTTTTTTGTTTGGATAATGATCACAAACTTGAGTTTAACATTAAGTAAAAAAAAAAAAATTTACACGTATCTATCATCTTTTATTTTGATGGCGAAGAGCTTTAAGGGTAAATCTGAGAGAAACTACCATGGCAATTCATCATCATAGTCTTTCATTTAAATTCGAGATTTTCAAGCAGGCTTTTTTAGAATATTCTTTGTTTTTTGGTAGAATAAAGAGTTTTTTTGGCCAAGATTAAAGAATTCTATACTAAAATTTATATTGCAAAAATCATATAATGTTAATGTTATTTATAAAATTAAGTTTTAAAAAGTTATCATTAAATTTCTAAAATGCCAATATTTAATTTTATAGAGGTTTCACTCTTGTAAT